CACCTGCGTCCCTTAAGGCACCATACATTAGCACTATTATCATACTGCTTAAAATTGTCATGGTTTCCTGCAAAGATTCATGGGAAGTGTAGTTTGTTAAGGGTTCTGAGAGTTGTTGGGAGCCCCATATTCCCTTCAGAGAGCTATAATTTCCAGAGTTTCCTTTGATTGCTCAATAACTTTCACTGCCCCCGCTAACAAAAGTCCTGGCTATGCCCATGCCCTAATTCAGCAGAATATAATGCTAAAATTGCTCTAATGTAGAGATGAAGAATTGGAGGCATAGTTTCTAGAGTGCTGAACTAAGCCATGGGAGACCAGGGTTCAAATCTCCACTCAGCAGACTTTAGGCCAGTCACTGCCTCTCAACCTACCCTACCTCACAGACTGCAGACTGGGCAGCTGAAAGACAGAACTGTGCCTGATTTCTGCTGGAATCTAAGGCTGTGGCTATGGGAGAAGCAAGACCTTATTGGGGTGTTAACACTGTGAGCCCCTCAATCATAGGCTGAGGTTGTATATATGTGTAAATAAATCATATATTATAAAGACACTACAGTCTCTGCTGTTGCTCATTCCAAGGAAAACCGAACCTTCTAGAATTTCATAGCACTCTGAGAGTAGAGTGCCATGCAACAATATTTTACTGCACATTTTCTATCACTGCAATAGTTTTACAAATCATAGTTCCAAGCACTTGAAATCATGTCTGGCTAGCATTTCAAAAAAGAGCTATAGTATGCAATTACAAGTTAATGGACTTTAAACCAGACTTATCAAGTGAAGTTCTTTGACCTGTGTAATTATCATAACAAGGGTTGTGATTCCGTCACAGTCAAAATTCTGTCTTTCATGGTATAATGCTTTGAAAGTGGAATTGAGACTTACTCCAACCGGTTCTTTCAGATGGAAAATGAATGACACCCTACTAAGAGATCAGGAGATTGTGAAGAAGGCCCAAAAAACTTTAAAGGACTATTTTGAAATTAATTTGAACACTTCGGTGGAAAAGAGAACAATTTGGGATGCAAGTAAAGCTGTAATGAGGGGGTTTCTGATACAACAGAACACAATCAAGAAAAAACTTTGGAATGGAAAAAAAGACAGGATATTAGAGAAGATAAGAGAAGGAGAGAAAAAATTGAGACTAAAACCAAAATCAAAAGAGGTTTTAAGAGAAATCAAATTCCACCAAGCTCAATATGCGAAATTGATAAATCAAGAAGTGGAATGGAAAATTAAACAAATGAAACAAAGATCATTTGAATCGGCAAATAAATGTGGAAAACTGCTAGCATGGCAGTTGAAAAAGAGACAAAAATTGAACTTTGTCACTAATCTAGAGGTGGAAGGAGAAACATTCAGAAACCAGAAGAAATTAGAAAGTGTTTCCAGAAATATTTCAAAAACTTTATACACAAGGGCCTCAGGAAATGTCTGAGATAGATCAATTTTTAAAAGTTAACGGTTTATCAAAACTATCTCAGGAGAAGAGGACAATCTTAAATAATAGAATAACACAACAGGAAATAGAGGGTGCCATTCAGAATATGCAACTAGGCAAATCTCCAGGCCCAGATGGACTTACCTCCAAGTATTATAAGACACTAAAAGATTATTTGATACAACCACTAATGGAGGTCTGTAACCAGATTATGGAGGAGGAGGGCACCGGAAACGTGGAAAGAAGCTTTCATCACATTGATTCCTAAATTGGAATCTGAAAAGACTCAGCTTAAGAACTACCGTCCCATCTCACTCCTAAATGTGGATTACAAAATTTTTGCTGATATTTTGGCGAGCAGACTTAAAAAATACTTAATGAAGTAATTCATAAGGACCAGGCAGGCTTTCTCCCAGGGAGACATCTCTTTGATAATACTAGGAACATTATTGATATTTTGGAACTTTTACAAACTAATATCAATACGAAAGCTGTTTTAATTTTCATTGATGCGGAGAAGGCCTTTGATAATATTTCTTGGATGTTTATGAAGAGAAATTTGGAAGGGATGGGAGTGGGACGGGGTTTGAAAATGGAATAGAAGCAATTTATTTTGAGCAAAAAGCTAAACTGATAGTGAACAATGTGGTGACAGATGAGTTCAAAATTGAAAAAGGGACACGACAAGGGTGCCCCTATCCCCTCTTTTATTTATTTCAGTCCTGGAGGTGTTATTGAACATGATTAGGAAGGACCGGTTGATACAAGGAATACAGGTCGGAGCGAAACAATATAAATTGAAAGCTTTTGCAGATGATTTGGTTTTAACATTACAGGAGCCAGAATCTAGTACAAAAAGAGTATTAGAACTGATTCATGAGTTTGGTCGGGTGGCGGGATTTAAGTTGAATAAGCAAAAACCAAGGTTTTGGGAAAAACTTGACACCTTCAGAAATAGATGGGTTTCAGAAGGAAACAGAACTAAGTGTGGTAAAAAAGTGAAATACCTAGGGGTTCACCTGTCAGCGAAAAATGTGAAGCTATTGAAAGACAACTATCAAAAATGTTGGCTGGAAATCAACAAAGATTTGGAAATCTGGTCAAGATTGAAACTTTCCTTGTTGGGTCGAATTGCAGCTATAAAGATGAATGTATTGCCGAAAATGTTATTTTTGTTCCAAACCCTACAGATTGTGGACAGAGTGGAATGTTTTGGAAAGTGGCAGAAGGATATATCCAAGTTTGTTTGGCAGGGCAAAAAGTCCCGGATAAAGTTTAAAATACTAACTGATTCGAAAGAAAGAGGGGGGTTTGCCCTGCCGGACCTGAGATTATATTATGAAGCTGCGGCCTTCTGCTGGATGAAAGATTGGTTACTTCTTGAGAACACTGATGTCCTAGATCTGGAAGGGTTCGATAACGCTTTTGGTTGGCATGCATATTTGTGGTACGACAAGGTAAAGGTTCATAAAATGTTCAAAAATCATATTGTTAGAAAATCAATATTTATGGTCTGGACAAAATACAAGGACTTATTAGAAGGTAAGACTCCGAGGTGGCTTTCACCAGCAGAGGCCAAGGCCCGGAAAAAACCTAATATGGAGGTTGGTTGGCCGAAATATGGGGAAATTATAGAAAAAGTAGGAGAAACTTGGAGGCTGCAGAGTTATGAAAAATTAAAGAATAAGGTGCAAAATTGGCTTCATTATGCTCAAATTCAAGAGGTTTTTAAGTTGGACAAAAGAACAGGCTTCCAGGTGGAAAAATCGAAACTAGAGACAGAATTGTTGGAACCAAAAACCAAGGTACTTTCGAGAATGTATACCTTGCTGCTTAAATGGAACACTCAGGATGAGACAGTCAAATCAGCCATGATAAAATGGGCTCAGGACATTGGGTACAACATTATGTTTGAAGACTGGGAAAGGTTATGGACCACTGGTATGAAATTCACGGCATGTAATGCCTTGAAAGAGAATATTATGAAAATGATATACAGGTGGTACATGACCCCAGTCAAGCTTGCTAAGATATATCACTTGTCTGATAATAAATGTTGGAAATGTAAGGAGGCTGAAGGGACATTCTTTCACCTCTGGTGGACTTGCCCAAAAGTGAAGGCCTTCTGGGAAAGGATCTATAATGAGTTAAAAAGGTGTTTAAGTACACCTTTCCCAAGAAACCAGAGGCCTTCCTACTGGGCATTGTCGGCCAGAAGGTGTTAAAGAAGGATAGAACCTTTTTATGTATGCAACTACAGCAGCAAGAATTCTTATCGCAAAATACTGGAAGACTCAAGATTTACCCACACTGGAAGAGTGGCAGACGCAATTGATGGGCTACATGGAATTGGCCGAGATGACTGCCAGGATCCGAGATTTGGGAGAAGAAGCAATGGAGGAGGATTGGAAAAAATTTAAAGATTATTTACAAAAATTTTATAAGTTATATGAATGTTAAGAATTCGCATGATTAGGGAAATTCAGCTCCAGCAATAAGATTAAGGTATGGGAAACTAAGCTATATTAATGAAAGGACTAATGTTTAAAAGAACATTATATATGTTATTAGTGTAAATTGACAATAAGCATTTTAAACGTAAACCATAAGTATTTGAAAGAACAAAAGAATGCACAAAATAAGGTTATAATTTGCTGAAAAATTTTATTGTAAAGAACGCAAGGTGAGGGAGACGTGGGAAGTCCGGTTGGTTATGGAAAAATGCTTTGGAAAGATGATTTTTTTCTCTTTTTCTTTTCTTTTCTGTTATTTCTTTGTATATCCGACTTTGTATTTCTATGTGGAAAAAATGCAATAAAAATATTTAAAAAAAAAAAAAAATTCTGTCTTTCATGGTAAAACATCCTTAATTCATAGCCCAAATGTATCTATTTAATAGAATAGATTTTTAAAGAACATTTTTTAAAAAAAGGATTCCATCATTTTCAATGCCACCCTATCAAACATCCTGAGTCCATTTTGGGGATTAAGGGTGTCCTGCTCTGCAGCAAGACTCAACTGGGGTCTAGGACATGGTGAGGTTCAAACTGGATCCAAGGCAATGTGGGGTTCAGGCTGGACTCTAAGAGCTGCTCCAGTATGGAACAAGCTGAAACTGAGCCCTTATATTGTAATAGCAGCAGGTGCAGCCTGATTGTTAAGTGTACTGCAAGATGCTGCTTGATTGAAAGGGCTCCGTTCTTCTCCATTAGTCTACTACTAAGATGGAGTAGAGGAGGCTTGGGTCTTCTACAGTGGTGTCATTGGAGTCAGAGGATGGCAGTGCCACAATGGGCAGCACTGATCCCACAGGTTCTTCTGGACCAGCGTGCCTTCCCCCTTCAGGTTTGGAGTCCTCACCTCAATCACCTGATGAAGAGGATTCCAACTCCTAGTCTCTGTCGAAAGGTTGCTGTATGCTGTTATGACTGAAGAAGTGTGGGAAAACTGGTGTAATAGTGGGTTGCATTCAATGTAGCACCAGTGAGGTCATTCCAAACAGCATTTCTGTTTGCCTGATGGAACGATAATAAATCTCCCTTTCCTCTTCCTTTACGCCATTCTGGGATACTCCCAATCCACCAGAGCAGTTTGGGGGAGGTCATGAGGTACATACAGGGAAGAAGTTCCATTGCACTAGCAGAAAACCTTGCACTGGCTTCTGCTAGAATGAGGTAGTTGAATATGGCCCAGTGCTTCTGCTTGCTTCCTAATGTGAGAAGATTTTCTTTCTTTCTAATTTCTAGGCGGCTTTTCAAGTCAAATTGTGCTGCCTTGCATTGAATTATGGTAGTGGTATATCTGCCATACCTTTCCCTTGAACAAGTCACCTCCAAGCTGGCATGTAGCAGCTTGGCACTGAGTTTGTGGCCTTTCTCGGAAAACCAAACAACATAAGTTCTAGTGATTCTGATGCTGCGTTATGCAATCTGAAAGGAAGCAGAGAGACAGTCTGTGGTTGCTAGATTTCACACACACACATCACATAGCAGATCTATGAATAGGCTAGATGTAGCTCAGCCTGTCAAACTGAGTCCCTTCTGCTGGAAGTGGCGCTGTAGATTCAGAACAATAGGATGGAAATTGTATATTATAACAATTAAGCCTCTTCCTGCCTGAGAATGTGTGTTAGCAAATAACTGAGGCAAGCAATTGGGTACCTCAGACATAGAAGATGCCACAGAATTTATAAGGTTCTCTTCATCCCCACTTCCCACATCCTTAATAACCTCTTCAAACACAGGGTATGAGAAATTACCTCAGAGTCGAGTGGCAACTTTACTGATAGATTGGTTTCATTTATTTATATGCCACCTTTCCACAGTGAATCCAAAGCAGCTTCTAACAAACAATTTCAATTTGCAGGGAGGTTGGAGGGGACAGTTATAAGTGCCACCACCCTACTCCACCGACTGCTGTGGGATGTGAAATATCTCTGAAGATCCAGGGGTGTTTGCTAGCGAAGTCAAGGGTTCCTCGCAAGTTAAAAGTTATCTATTGGTCAAACGTCACTGAGTTGATAGTGTTGAGGGATAATAGTACAACCCTTCTCTTGCCATCAAGTCCCTGCTTTTCTCCATGCTTTTGACTATTAACCTTACTATAAATGGAAGCTTTCTTGCCCTTCCCCATTTGATACACCCCCCTGCATTACTACAGACATACCAGAGGTTGTAGATGGTGATAGAGCAGGGAGAATAGTGGGTCACACATGGGCTGTACAATTCCATTCAAGAGTGGCTGATGCCATGAAGCAGTGTGACATGAGCATGACTGCCACTTACTAGGGTAGTGTAGAGTGGTGGTGAAATTGGGCCATGCAGCCACATCATTTGAGGTAATCTGGCACTCCCGTCACTCTGGTTGCCCAACTCTGCCTTGCCCTGCCCCCGTACTGTCCTGGTAAACAGCAGCAGTGTTGGGAGAGAGGCTCAACATCATCACCAAACTGCGGTGGTCACTGCTTTTTCTATTACTATCTCCTGAGGCAGACCAATCAACACTCTCTCATTACCTACCAACTTCAACACCTTCCTTAAATTCCAATGCCAGGTCCTTCCATGCACGTTCTTGTTCTCACCATTCCACCTTTCTGGCGCTGCATCTCATTCACCACGAGTTCCTTCGCCTCAATATTTTGAATGGGGAGTGGTGGAATCCGGAGTTTCCACGAAACTCTTTCGTACATTGACACGTGGCACTGAGGAAACAAATGGCCATTGTAAATAGTAAGGCTTACTTCCAAGTAAATATGCCTGCTGCACACAATTTCACCATCAATCTAATTCAGCCTGACTCAAACACCATCACCATGAAAGGTGCGTATGGATAAATTCCCCTTTTGTAGTTTTTACAACTAGTTAACAAATCTGAAATGAAAAACAAATGCCTTTGAGTGATGAATGGTGGCTTGTTCCATTTAAGATCACATTTTATTTGTTTCTCTTTTTTCAGCAGCGGATTTTCTTTACCAATGGAAAAAAGTGTGTTTTTATTATTGGTCTCGTTTGCACCACACTATAAACCATACTTAATGGTTTATAATGAATGCACTGACTGAGGCCCCTTTGACCATCCCGACTAACGTGGGGAGAAAAAACAAACCAGTATCCTTGTCTTAGCATTAAGGCCAACCTAAGGATCATGGCGGGACGCAGGTGGCACTGTGGGTTAAACCACAGAGCCTAAGGCTTGCCGATCAGAAGGTTGGTGGTTCAAATCCCCACGACGGGGTGAGCTCCCGTTGCTCAGTCCCTGCTCCTGCCAACCTAGCAGTTCGAAAGCATGCCAGAGCAAGTAGATAAATAGGTACCGCTCCGGTGGGAAGGTAAACGGCGTTTCCGTGAGCTGCTCTGGTTCGCCAGAAGCGGCTTAGTGATACTGGCCACATGACCCGGAAGCTGTACGCCGGCTCCCTCAGCCAATAAAGCGAGATGAGCGCCGCAACCCCAGAGTCGTCTGTGACTGGACCTAATGGTCAGGGGTCCCTTTACCTTTACCTTTAAGGATCATGGCTGTTTCACTTTAAAAAACACCCACAATCTTTAAGCCAAGAACAAACCTTGACTATACAGATCCTGCTTTGTTTGTGTTACTCCAAACCATGGAATCCTATTCAGACATATTGCTAAACCAGGGTTCATGGTTTGTTTCACCTGCACACATAAACAATGTTACATTTAAGTAGCCCCAATTGCATCCCCCCCCCCCAAGATTACTCCCCTCCTTGCCAAGTAGAAGCCTTCCTTAAAAAGGGATTCTTTTAAATTTTGTACTCATTTTGTGTTATGGATATATTTTTGCCACCAGAACTACACATTGAGCACCACATAAGGCTTTCCCTGACATCCTTATGCACATAAATCAATAATTAGATTAATCTGTAGTGCACACAGGTAGGTGGGTGTTTGTTGTTTTGTTACTATGGATGAGGATGAGACAAGGTGAAAACAACACTGGAGTTCAGTGAATATGTGGGATATTTATCTTGTAAGTTTTAAATAAAACAACAAATAACAAAACCCATTAACAATAAATGAGAGTAAAAAGACAACAATCAAAACACAGATTTCTCATCCCTAAAGCAACCACATACATGATGCCAATTAACTGCTTTTGAATCTCTATACATAGACCTGTATTAGCCATTCCTGTTGTTTAGTTCACACTTCCTCTATTTTCTGATGTCATGCACCAGGACTTTTCTTCTTTCTTCTGCCTCAGGCCCCTCTACATCTTTATTGTCTGTTTCTTCTCCAACTGCCATTAACAGACAATTTCCCCATACTGTCTCCAATATTTTACGTTCCTTCATCATTCCAGCCTTTATGATGCAATAAGAACAGGCACCACAGATCCAGGTTTATACATTTATTTAGGAAGTTTTGATACCCAGATGGTGAGGAAGATGAAGTATAATTACTTCCATCATTATAATGTCATTTTTGACAGAATATCGCAAAGGAAAAGCTAGTTATGTTACTGAAGAATTTAGACTAACTTTCAATCTAATATTTCATAAAACTCTGTCTTAGGACTTACCTGAAGTATCATGGGTAGTGATACAACCAGAATGCAGCAACCACTTAAAAAAAAAATAATTCCTGCTTGCATCTCCAAATATATTGTTTCTCTTGGAATTATCCTAAAAATTCAGTACAGGAACAAGATGCAACCACTGGCAGAGGAAGAGGAGTGCGTCCCTGGCAGCGCACCGTCCCTGGCAGCGCAATCCCAGTAGGGTGACATCAGGGCTGCCCCCCCCGCCTGCACTGGGCGCCACCCCCTGCAGGTGGCATGCCCCGCCCCCAGGGCACACGCCAGCCCCGCCCCCGCCTGCTCTCCGCCCCCTGGTGCCAGAGTATGAAGCTCCGCCACTGGGTGCAATATATTTCTAAGTGCTTGCAGACTTAAATGGGATGGGATGAACTGGGATAGAGTCATGCAACTATAGTCCCCATCACTCTGGAACACTGGATGTGTGGGCTGGTGCAAGAATAGAGGGAGCCATGCCCAAAATAGTTAATGTGGCCCAGTCAGTCTTCACTTGAAAACTTGAGGGTAGCTGCTGTAATGACCATACTCGGATCCATGTTTTTATGTGATAAATTCTGCAGCATTGATTCACTTCACAGAATCATGTATTGCACTGACTGCTTGGACTGTTCAGAGGGTTTATTCTTCAAAGGCTGATTGTATAATCAGCCTGCTAGTGTACCAAAGTAGCATGTCTTTTTGCATTGTCTTTGCCTTCACTTGTGGGTCCTTTGGTTAAATTTTCACTGGCCTTTCAAATCCTCGCACAATCTGGCACAATCCCCACATTTCATTGTTTTTTCAATCAATAATGAAAATGCAAAACAAAGCCTTCACTGTTCTTATTATCTTAATGCATATCCCTTGTCAAGGTCATGTTGCTGTTTACCTTTACATTTCTTTTCTTACACTACGTTCTCAAAACACTGTGTCTTGGGACAGGTTTCCTATCACTATTAAATAACTTCTGGCTGTACCAGTTTACATTTTCTAGTATTTTTTTTGAAAACATTCAATGCTTGATTTTAATTCAAACATATTTCACTCCTCTTCTTTTTTATATTTTCTAGGTTTTATATTTTCTAGGTTTCGCATTATTATCTGACTGCAAAATGAACACATTTTCCTCCATGACCTTTCACATTACATGCACATTATACTTCCTCTTAATTTTCTTTCCAGTAAGCTGCAGTTAGCGCATGACACACTGCAAAGCTCACAGTTCACAGTCCCTCTGACAACTTCTCTTATTTTCTGTCACTCTCAGCCTGGGACTGATTCAAATCTTTTTCCAGTTAGCAGGATCAACTTCCCATTCACTCAAAGCAAGCTTTGAATGCAGAATTGCCATCTTATCTGGTTGCCTCTCTATCTATAGCAGAATTAAAATGTTTGTTGAGGACTATTGCTCCTCATATCAGAGCCCAAAGACTGAAAGACATGGGAGTGGCAAGCTGTACCACAACATGAGTAGCAGTAACTCATATCCATCAACCACCTTACTTTAAAGGCCATAGCTCAGTGATAGAGCATCTCAGTCCTTTAGCATCTTCAGGTAGGGTTAGGAAGGCCCCCTGGTTGAAATATGGAGAGTCACTGTGGACCAATACTGAGCTACGCGGTCACATGGCCTGGCTTTGTAGCTCCCTACCTTCCTGTTTTAGTAAAGGAAACATTCCCACTGCGTATATGCTGGTCTTTCTCTGGCAAGGTCCAAGTACTCTTTAAGAATTCGATATCTTGATCCCACTTATGTATTCCTGTGCAGATGGGGTTTTAAAAAAATGCCCTGCACAAACATGATTGGGATTATGGGGATCCAGAGCTTCCTCATCCACAATGATCCCCAACAGATGTTTCTCCTTTGCTCTCCAGTTCTCTTATCCTTTCTCAAATAATTGTACCTTTACTAGTTTTCCATTGTCAGATGCTGCTTGCAAGCAGCAGAAATACATTTGAAACACAGATACAGTGGTACCTCGGGTTACATATGCTTCAGGTTACATACGCTTCAGGTTACAGACTCTGCTAACCCAGAAATAGAACCTCAGGTTAAGAACTTTGCTTCAGGATGAGAACAGAAATCGTGCTCCAGCGGCGCGGTGGCAGCAGGAGGCCCCATTAGCTAAAGTGGTGCTTCAGGTTAAGAACAGTTTCAGGTTAAGAACAGACCTCCAGAACAAATTAAGTACTTAATCCGAGGTACCACTGTACACTTTTCTTGCTTCTCTTTAGTGTCACCTCTCTATTGATTAATGCTCATAGATACCAATATCTTTGCTACAAGGAGCATTTTGCCCTGTTTCAGTCATACCCAAAGGATAAATAATAACCTCCTTCGTTCAGAAGCAATCTGCTTGGCCTGTTTCCCATCCTCCATACATTTGTGCACAGCCACATAAAGCACTTCCTTTTCTTATTCTTTCGCTGTTTGTTATGTGTACGTGAGATAGATAGACGGGGACACACACACACACACAGACTCCTTTGCTTTGGTTGCTGGAAGGACATGCCATTAATACAGATTAATTTTATCTATTGTGAGTGAGTTAGTTTGCTCCTAGGCTGCAGAGAGCCAGATTTCCTGCTTGCAATTTGTTACAGCTCAGTAGCAAGTCCCTGAAAATAGGAATTTCAAATGGAAATACTGGAAGGCCTCTCAACAGTGCTATAATAAGAAGGGTGTTTTCTTCTACATACTATATGTTGTTACACAACAGCAGCACACCAGAATGTGCGTGGAAAACGGCAGTCCTTTCTAAAACTGGGCATGCACAAGATGGAAAGCAGAGCAGAAATACAGCAGCCCAAGATCAACACTCCAAATTAAGACGCTTCTGTTAAACATTTCAGCATGGGCGCAGAAAGCCTAGAAAAGCATGCCTTTGAATTTGCTTGTTTGTTTGCCAGGTCATCTCTCCATAATAAATGGATGAAGAATATGTACAATTTTAATCTTGGTAAATGAAGCTGGATCAGCAGCAGCAGCAATGCAGAGAAAAATTATTCAGTAAAGGTCTCACTGCTCCAAGAAGGGCTAACCTGTGTTGTTGGTTGGACTGCCAACTCCTATCTGACTTAGCCAGCATGGCTGGTGGTCAGGGATGGTGGGAATTATAGCTAGAAAGAACAGAAATTCCTTGTCACAACAGATCTACTAGCTGACAGTTTGTTTTGGGAACAGTTGCATCTGTTCTAATGTATGCTGTGAACCAACCTGGGTCCTGCACTGCACTGGGCGAAAGGTAGGGTAGTAAATAAGTAATACATGGCCACTCCTGCACTACACTCATTTTTATAGGGACTACAACCACCGTATGGCAGGATGGAATGATAACCACCCCAGGGTGCTCCTAACCACTTACCTTACTCCCCTGGACAAGCCTCCTATGGCAACCCTAAGTAGCCAGGATGCCCAAGGTTCAAGCATTCAAGTGACCACTTTCACAATTGCAAGGAACGTGCCTACATCCTTAGGTTGCACAAATCAAAATGTATCTATAAAAGGACAATTATTATTCTCCACCCAAGACTGACTGAAATGCAAACAAAACTACATGTGAAAACTCTTACGCACAGTCGCAGAAGGTACAGATCACAAATGAAGACTGTGGAAAGTGATTTAGATAACTTTGGCCTCTCTCATGTGTGTCGCTCTGCAAGAGTTCCAAGTCTGTACAAATGTCTGGCTGTGATAAATCAGATGAAGCTGGTTGCTCGACAAAAATGCTTTCTGGTCTACACATGGTGGATTGAGCTTCCACCTGCAGTGCTAGAGACAGTATCATGAAAGGTTTTGACTATGTTGTTTTAGTAATACAAGCTGCAGTCATGCTTGAACTGTGCTGCTGAGAGGACAATCCCAGATGATCAGTAATCTGGGAGAATCATGTAAAAGCAGCATACAAAGTCAGCATTACTGATCAGGTCTTCAGCAATGCTGGAACGTTTGTTGTTCTCTGACAATTCACTAGATTCCACCTGCAATGGTAATCACTGCAATGAAAATATCTCAGGCTACAATCTTATACACTTACCTGGGAGTAAGTCCCACTTAACTCAATGAGTTGACATGTATAGGACCGCACTCTCAGCCCATGGAGATGCAGTGTACAGTTCTGAAAGGGACGAACATTTTGTACAATAAAAACGTAAACAGAAATCACGCACATCTGGCTACAATAGCTACACACTGTATAAATCCCCACACCGCACCATCTACATTTTATTGTCCCAGTTTCAAAAGACCAGGATTTGTAGATTTTAGGCCCTTTTTCTGCTTCTACATTTCACAACTGTGCAGTATCAGGAACTGGCTTAATGAAAAGCAGGCACGATAAAAATGTATCAGTGCGTAATTCTCACAGGAGATTTAAGAAGAAAACACAGCATAAGCTAAGAGGATGGCAAAAGCCAAACATTGGACTAGATGACCCTTGGGAGTCCCTTCCAACGCTATAATTCTGTGATTCTATGAACAGCAACACGTCTTTAGGGCATTCTCACAAGTGACCCCAAGGCCTTTTTAGTCTTTGTTGAATGTGTTACATATGAATGTTAATGTGAGGCAGAAGAAAAGGGAGCCGTTCCAAAACTTAATCTACATTCCCATTTAAAAAATCTACGTTTTTTTTAAAGTGAGCTTTTAAAAATCAATTAACAGATGCAATACTGAAAAAAGAAAAGCCCAGCAAACACTGATGTAAGTGGCACCAGTGAGTACAGCAATACTCCAGAATAACCAGAAATACTTGGGTGCATTATGGGGAATACTGGAAACAGCAAACAGCCAGTAAAGGGGGAGGGGTGCTTTAAGGAATGTGAACCAAGAGAATGAAGGAATCTGCATGCTGCTGCTTGTTTTAAATGTTGACTAGCAAGTGAAAGTATGGGTAATGGACTTGGTGTTTTAATATACCAACTGGTAAAATACTAGTTTTATTTTGTCTGTACGTATGTTTGAAAGTTAGGGACGCGGGTGGTGCTATGGGTTAAACCACAGAGCCTAGGACTTGCCGATCAGAAGGTTGGCGGTTCGAATCCCCGTGACGGGGTGAGCTCCTGTTGCTTGGTCCCTGCTCCTGACAACCTAGCAGTTTGAAAGCATGTCAAAGTGCCAGTAGATAAATAGGTACCACTCCGGCGGGAAGGTAAACGGCGTTTCCGTGCGCTGCTCTGGTACGCCAGAAGTGGCTTAGTCATGATGGCCACATGACCCAGAAGCTGTACACCGGCTCCCTCGGCCAATAAAGCAAGATGAGCGCCGCAACCCCAGAGTCGGTCACGACTGGGCCTAAAGATCAGGGGTCCCTTTACCTTTATGTTTGAAAGTTGTTGTGCCCAAATTATCCTATAGTGGAGTTAGTGGGGAACATGTACCAGAACAACTTGTTACTATTGCTGCATGCCACCCCAATCTCCAAGTGGTGCAAAAATCCAGGGGTTCCAGGTTGTTTCCTTGGAATGATGGACAGCGGAGACTGTGGTGTCCTTGGGATCTCCACAGCCTTGGATTCCAGCAGAAATCAGGCACTGTTCTATCTCTCAGCCTGCAGCCTGCTTCTGGCTTCTTGCTCACACATCTCAACTCGGGTTTTGTCCTAACTAACGGCTAGTTGAGGGATGAGGGGCATCCATTTTTCACTTCCTCTGTTACCTTAACCACCCATACTTAGGGGCCATGACTAAGAAACTTACCTGGCTATTCCAGCAATGGGGATCCTTAAGGGATCCAGAAATTAGAAGGGAGCTCAGGCATACAGCCTGCTGCCCCACCCCCACCCCCGAAAAGCTCACAACCCTATTATGTTTTAATTTAAAGCGGGGTTTGGGGTCCACGACCCATTGGTGGCTGATGCCATTGGCACTGGTGGGGTGGAAAACAGAGAGACCAGCAGTATGTGGAGCCAGAGCCTATGGCAGGCAAGAACCACTCCATGGCTTAGTGTAAGTAAGATGGCAGCCAGGTAGAGACTGGCTGTGGGCAGGTTGAGGTTGGTGGAGCAATGCCACATGGAGAAACATCCACTCCTGTGTTCACTGATAGGTTCAACCTGAAAAGGTTGAACGTAACTGAATCTTAATTTTAAAAAGTATGGGAAACATATGTGCAGAACTGAACATTGTACTTCTGCCCATCTTGAGCCTTTTGCAAATTATGTGTGCTTGGGCTCAGCTCCAGATAATCAGGATAGACGCAGTGGCACGTGAATGTAACTGCAAGAGTTAAACCACTTACAGAGCAGCAGGCAAGTTCCTACAGAGCATCCTAGAAAGTTGTGCAGCTTCGTAAGGTCACTCTCCCACAGATACTAAGTAAACTTTTGAGCAGCCTTTGTTAACGCTGCTGATAACGTTGGCTGGCTAACGTCGCTGGCTTGATTTATTTTAAGTCTGTAAATGCAAAGAGACAGCGATTGCAACAGATGCTTTTTGACAGCATAAAATAATAGGATGCCAACTTAAAACTGTAAATTACAAACAATCCTTCCCTAAGTAGAAAATGAATGCAGAGAACAGGGAAGCTTCATCAACCAGGCGTGTTTGTAAATCAAATGGAGGAAAACAAATGACTGCCGAAAGCAGAAGAAGAGGTGGTGGTTGCAGAATCAGGGCTGGTGGGGAAGGCTGGCAAGGAGAGAGCTGGCACAGTTCATAGTCATCAGACCGAGGCCTGAGCCAAGTGGAGAGCAACTGTTGGGCCAGAGAGTCCAAAGGCAAGAGACCAAGCTGTAAATGAACAGAGTGCCAGAGAGGCAAAGCACTAGATACAGTGCAGGTCCAGGCCAAGGGAAACATAAGGAAGCAATGGGATTTTTTCCTCCCCTAAGTGCTGCACGGCCAGTGGAGGAAGGCTTAAACCTCCCATCCCTGTGCTGATTACAAGTAGAAGAAGAAGTAGAAGAGTTTGGATTTGATATCCTGCTTTATCACTACCGGAAGGAGTCTCAAAGCGGCTAACATTCTCCTTTCCCTTCCTCCCCCACAACAAACACTCTGTGAGGTGAGTGGGGCTGAGAGACTTCAAAGAAGTGTGACTGGCCCAAGGTCACCCAGCAGCTGCATGTGGAGGAGTGGGGAAGCGAACCCGGTTCACCAGATTACGAGTCTATCGCTCTTAACCACTACACCACACTGGCTCTCAGTGTGCCCTCTCGCCCCCTTGCGCCTGGGATTAAATTAAAAAGCAAACAAACCACAATGTGACTGCTAATCACATTGCTAAAGTAATGTTAGGACCCAAGAGGAGGCAACAAGGGGTATACTTGGATATTTTTCTTCAGGGGAAAAAAAGATAATTTGTGTTTGGCGCAAAGGGCTCAGGAAAGGAAGGAAGGGTCTTCAGCCACAGGGCACGTCCAGATTATATCGTCACTGCACACTACGTAGAGTTGCTTTTGGAAAATGCTTGGAAGCGGCATTGAGCGCAACATGCAGTAGCCAGGGTGGCCCACCTATGGCCTGTACTTCCAGAGCACATGACTCCAAGATCGTTCAGTCTTCATTGGTTACCATTTTGTTAAGAAGCACCATTCAAAAGTACTGATGGTTGTGGCCTAGGAAGCCACAAATGTTTTAGAACCAAGATTTTGAAAGTCTGCCTTCTCTCACATGAGCCTGTCTGTGCATGACTGTGACCTTAACTGGAGACCCTGCTTTGTGTCCTGTTGCCGTCAAAGATCTGTTTGGGTTATGGGGTAGGGCTTTTTCAGTGGTGGCACCCTACCTTGGGAGCAGGGAATGGATGGATCTGTCAACTTCAGTTTCAATCAGTTTCTCGTTTTCCCAATCTGCAGTTCAGTTCTCCGTATTTCTGCAGCAATTTGCCAATTTTTTTTTAAAAAGAAACTTACATTTTTATGCATTCCTCACCCCACGGTATGCCTATCTATACGTATTGCATGGGTGGAGAACTGCATTTCAAGATGCAGGGAAATGTGAATTTCCAAGGATGGAGGTGTGTTGGTTTGCATATTGGTTCAGAAAATGTGGATTTGGTAGGTTTGCCTTTAAATGCTAATCCCTACTTGGGGAAACTCAGCTGAAACTCCCTCCTTTGGCATTGGCTTTAGTGGTGTTTTTATGTGCTGCAAAACCCCTTTTTGTTACATACCTTTGGTTTAGATACCTAGCTCTCCTTCCCTTCTGTGATTTTTATAGGATCACAGAATTGTAGAGTTGGAAGGGACATTTGCCTTCTGATCTCCAGCTTGATTTTTCCCCATTTAGTTTTCTTGTGCTAGGGATTTGTATTGTTTTAATTGTGAACCACTTTAGAGATCTCAGGAAAGGCTAAAAAGTGGTCTATAAAATAAGAAACATAAATAAAAATCCACAGGACCAATGGCCAATAGGCCTGTACATTGATTCTTAAGGCTTGCTGAATGGGCTTAAAGAAATACCAAAGAGCTTGGAAGGTGGGGGTCCAGAGCAGAGGTTATTGCTAACAGGTGGAAGAGACCACTCCCTTTATTGTGGGAGAAAATGGAGAGAAAGATCACAGTGTCTGACATTTGTGATGCCTAACGCTGGCATCTGAAACAGAGCGGGAGGCTGAGTTGTGAAGGACTCCTCCACAACTGCAGAATTTTTTTCCCTTCAGAATTGTTTTTAATTTTTCTTAATTAATCACTTTATGCATGCACACATAAATTTTCAAGAAATGATTTCTTCTCTTTAATTTTTCTTTCAGTAGCCTGCATTAGCACTGAATAATGCAGAGCCACGAATAAACTGCAAGAAATAAGCACCAGAATAGAGTGGCTATGTGGGGTTCCATGCTAAAGCTGAGTTTAAGGCACTCGTTTTTTGCACTATGCATCTACCAACCACAGAGGGCATTCAATGCATGAACCTGTTCTGATCTTTTAATGACCCTTTTTCTTCTCCTTCTCCCTCAGGAACTCCTTCAGTTGCTTTCTAATTTACTGGAGGCTTTACAGGAGGATGAATTCTGGGTTATTAAAATACCCTGGATCCCAAGGTTCATAAATGAGACTTCTGGTATTTGTGATGTGAGGTGCCCAAACAATGTTAGGTAAGTCAGGAAGTGCATAAGGAGAGATTAATGGAAGGAAAGAAGCTATCATAGTCAGTAGAAAATGTACACACACAGCCCAATGGACCTTCCCTGAGGTCATATCTATGGGCTACTAAAGCATTTCCCCCCTTTCTATTATGTATATAGGGTGCTAGTTGTCTTGATTCCCTCTGACTACTCTGATTCAGACAGGCACTTGAGAAAGAAAATGATGAATGGGGGGGGGGGTGAGATGGCAGAGTGGAAGCCACATGACACAACTCTTCCCTCCACCTCCTGACATGCCTGGCTCAGCTGTTGAAGCCAGAGTCCCAAAGGCTTCCTCTCCTTCCCCAGGGGAGGAGAGGAGCCTGTCAAAGACTGGGGAGGTTACTTCCCTGCAGTGGGATGGAGAGAGCTGACGGGACAGGGCAGGAGAATTCAGAGGTGGAGGCCAGTCTGGTGTTGTTTATCAGGAAAAGCTGGCATCCAAAGACAAAAGAGGGGACACATCCCTCAAGACACAGGCCAGGAATTCTCACAGGGATAGGGTTCCTTGTGTGTAGCTGGGCATTCTCTGTCTCTGCTCAAAAGCTTGGCGGGGAGACTACGAAACTTATTGGTGCAACCACAGCTCTGTGCAATCTTCGAACCCTTACTTCTAACCTTGTTCTCAGACTGGACTTATTTTTGCTACTCTTTTGCCTTGTAAGAACACCTGGACTAGATTGTGCTCTTTCCTAGGAGCTGAGTCTGTATCATTAGACTGCTATAATAAAAGTTTACTTCTTTACTTACAGGTGAACATCTCTGTGAAATGGGCTTGGCAGGGAGCCAGGTCACTTGTAACTGTTCTAATCACAACCAGCCCTTTGCTTAGAGCAGAACACTAGGAAGAATTTAAGCTTTGTATGAAAGGAATAGACTCCATATTTGTATCTATAAAATATACCGCATTTACTCAAATCTAATGATCACCTTTTTGCGCCAAATTAAGATGTGCATCGGATTTAGATTCGATGGCACATTTACATTCACCAGCAAATACTTTTTTGGGTTTCAAGGTTCTGAAAACTGAGGTGCGCATTAGACTCAAGTAAATACAGTACATAAAATTTAAGAACCAACTAAAGCGCAAGCCCCAGCAGAATAATTCTCATAGTGATGATAATAATATCTAGCATTGACAAAGTACTTTCATAAAAGTTTTTTTATATATATAAACATCACAACAACCCTATAAAGTAGGCCAATATTATTATCCTGATACAGCAGAAGAGGGAGACAGAGGTAGAGAAGCTTGCCTAAGGTCACCTAGTGAGTTCCTAACTACATTGAGATCCAACCCCACAGCAGTTATGTCACACCCACTAGAGTGAATGGAACATAGTGAGATATCCATATGAAAAAAGGGCAAGGCTCCATATAGTGTGGAATGTCACTTGCAATTTTGCTTGTAGCTTATGGTGGAAGAGTAATGATTGTGTAGTATTAGGAGCCACTGATCTGGAAGCAGCTGGTTAAGAGAGGAAAAAACTTTACAAAAGTAAATGCAATACTGGGTATGTTTGATTTAGTGCAAGGGCTTAGAAAATGTTTCATAATATGATTCTGCAGGAATATAGTCTGCCACTGTGTTATTATGCTACACGCTCTTGTCTGCAGTGCAAGATTGATTATTTGAATCCTGATGAGAGGCTCTCTGAACATTAGCCACGCAAATTAATAAGCCTCAGTGGCAGAGTGATCTCTCATGAAGAAGATTGTCTTTTATGGAATGCGAACAATGCTATGGTAAAGCTACGGGTTGCTTTCCTTCCCTGGTTCACATTCTGTTAACTATCTGATGTCACCACGGAGATGTGAAGTCTTTATAATTACAGCTTAAGGCCCAGAGAAAAAGAATGAGAAATTAGGTTTCATGCATTAACACAAAACTACCTGGGATGGCTTTATGGCTGGTTAATTCTCTTCTGCCGATTGGAACGCTGCATGAATTCTGAATCCAGATCTGGTTTTATGAGTGGCATCTTAATTAATTTTCCACCATATTTTTTTTTTTTAAGTAATAATAACAAAATGCCCTTTGTCACAAACAATTGCTTCTTGCAGTCCTGCTGAGTAAGATGCAAAGAAAGCCAAGAGCCTTCGCTGCAGCGACCAGTGTCCTACTAAGCAGTGGGGCTTGTTTCTTTCATCTTCCCTTGGATAAAGAATTCAGGTTACGCTCTGCACAAAATTAAAGTGTTCTGTTCAGTTATGTACACGAACAGCTTTGTAACTGTTCCTTGCTTCTAGGTCAAGGGCTCTCCCTATGGCAGGGTGCCAGCTTTATCCCTGGGCTCTCATAATCCCTTGAAATAAATCAACTTTCCATTGAAATCCTCTGCAGTTCCACTTCAAACTGCTGCCTCCAGCATGATGCTCTTTTATACTTTTGTGGAATTAAAAATAACCGGGAGGAGGAACAGGAGAAAAGGAAACAATGCAGCCATTGTAGGCTGGGTATAGAGTTCCAAATATAATCCAAATTGTGTGTATTAAATGGTATCTTTGTACGCTGCCTTAACTCCAGATTTCAGCATTTATTATTAGACCAAATGAAAGTGCCTCGGATTAGAGGTATGATCTGATTGGCTGGCAGAGTTACTATGCTATAGGTATATGTCTCTGCAGCTAAACTTCTGCACAAACAGGCTGAAAACCTGCTGCCCTCTTCTAGGTAGCAGGGTAAATTCCAAGAATTTAAAGGCTATCCCAAACACTAAGCAGATATAGCTAGTGAAAACTAATCTCCTACTCCCGTGCTCATATTTGAACATTTAACACGCATCTGCAAATATAAAGCTTGTATTCTTTGAAGACCTCAAAGATTGAGATTCGTTTCAGAAAACTAGAGTCTTCGAGTGAAATACTGAAAGGACGTTTTGTTCGTACAAGCAGGGTCCCAAAATAAAATGTTGCAGCCTGTTTGTGAAATAAATAAGGGAGTTAAAGAGAACAGGGATTCAGAAGAACACAAAAAGAGCTGAGCTGGATCAAGCCAATGACCCATCGAGTCCAGCATCCTGTTCTCATAGTGGCCAACCAGATGCCTATGGGAAAACTTCAAACACAGCCTGAACACAAGAGTACTCTCCCTCCCCCCCGCCCTTGAGTTTCTAGCAACTGGTATTAAACATGTACACCTTCTAATGTCTGTATGACGTAGTATTTTAAACGGCATTTTTTTGCTGCTACCTTTTGAGCTTGGGGTTCATTTTTTAAGGAACAGGGTGTGTGGGGTGGCTACACTGCTGCTTAATCCCAGCCACCTTAAAATGTTCCACTGATTTCTGTGACCAGCGCCCAGTTCCATCCTTGGGCACAATTAAAAAATAGCTTCTCTGTGTGAACCAGGAAGTGACTTACCTAGAGGTTCTTTCTGCCCTTCATATCAGGGATAGGGGTTTTTCCCCCTCCCCACCTGAGAACCACATTCCCTCTTGGGGGAGAGCAGCATGGAAGTGGTGGGTGGGATCAGAGGGAAAAATCGAACGGGGCAATGTGTACCATTGTGTAGAAGGCTGCATTACACCCATGCGGAAGTCAGGTTTCTGTACGCACCTTCCCACTCGGCTCTCTATCCAGGCAAGCAAGAGGGATTAAGGTCCGAAGGGCCCATTCCAGCCAGGCAAAAACAGCAGGGCCATTGTGGGGTGTGACCCCAGGCGAAGTCATGGCTTGCAGATAGAGCCAGAAGGACTGACTAGAGAGCTGCATTTGGCTTCCAGCCCTGGAGGTCCCCATCCCAGTGAGGGATGTGGCTTGGGTACCAAAGGCCAGAAAGAGAGAGAAGGCTGGAGGGTCCATTTGTGTCGCAGAGGATATGCCACATTGCTTGAAACAGGAGCCAAATGCAGAAACCAAGTTTAGAATATACGGTATTTCTACTTCCTAAGAGACTGAAAAAGAATCAGGAATAAAAACTCGCCACCAGTTTTGCAACTGTTCAGGCAGGGGCTTGCTAACACTAGAAATAAATGTGCCACAATTATGTTCAAGGGTACATTTGTGCCACAAGGCTGTGCGGAATCTATACAGCCGTACCTCGGGTTGAATGCGCTTCGGGTTGAGCGTGTTCGAGTTGCGCTCCACGGCAACCCAGAAGTAACGGAGTGCGTTACTTCCGGGTTTCGCCGCTTGCGCATGCGCAGACGCTCAAAATGACGTCACGCGCATGCGCGGAAGCAGCGAAAAGTGACACGCACATGCGCAGACGTGCCGTCACTAGTTACGTTTGCTTCTAGATGAGAACGGGGCTCTGGAACGGATCCCATTCGTATCTAGAGGTACCACTGTACTAAGGTTCCCAACCAACTGCAGCTTCCATAGCTCACTAAAGGATTTGCAGAGAATGTAAATAAAGCCAACGGTTTTCAGGCAGTCTGTGTAATGGTATGTTTTAGATTTTAAAGTCAAGTGATGGTATGAAGCTTTGAGTCAATGCTACGTAACGTAATTTTGTAGTGGAAGCAGAAAATTCAGAGTACTGTATTAAAAACTATGTTCAGAACACTCTTGGCTTGCTGCCACCTAGAGACCAAAATAAGTAATGCGGTAGATTTCCATTGGAGACCTTTCGTTTTCTCTGGTCTGTAAGTGGCCACAACTTGGCACAGTAACAGCTTCTATATGCGTTCAAGGATAACTGATGGGCTTTTAATATTGGATATTAAAGAAGCAGCAAGTCATTACTGGGAGCCAGGCTGTGATGGGCTGGCGAGCCAATCCTTTTGGGTTTCAGGAGTATAATGGTCTCTTGGTGATAAGAGGGCATGGCCCAATTTCTTCCACAGTGGATGATGTAATGCTGTCAAGTAAAACAAAAATTATTGTGGATGGAATGAGGTAATTAAAAGAAAAACCATGCCCAGGCATCATATGGTTCTTTTGAGTCAGATGATTTCAAACGCACATTTTTACAGCTACACTATGCACTTCACCTCTGTCTTGATAGTTGGCCTTGTACTTCCTTCATTCTGGCATGTTGTGGCTGTTTTCATTGGTGAGTGAATTGATGCCACCTGATCACTACTTTTCTGTTTCAACCTCTCTCTCACTTCATTTAATTGTAACTTTACAAATTTACAAATATGACCTATCACCCAACAAAATCACCCATCGCTTAACATAATACAATAACTAAAATGTTATATGATTTCTGTGTCCTTCTTAGATTTTTAATATATATATTTAATTTATATCCTGCCCTTCCTCTCAAAGGAGATCAGGGAGGCAAACGACAAGTGATAGAACAGTAAAAACATCTTTAAAGAATCTTTTTTTAAAAAAATCCAATCCAGATGCAACAAGTTTTCTTCTCAGTGTGATTATATGTTTGACCCACTCTTCATATATTTTCTCTTTTGTTGATTCCCTAGTTGTACATGTGCTGTTGGGAATGATCTTCCCACAAGAGGGGAGGAGCTATATTTTTTAAACTGACCCTTGGCTAATTTAGCTTTTGTGCTATTTCCCCCCCCACAAATGCCAGGAACTTCCCTCAGTGATCCGAAGAGGCACTTTTTACAACTCTCTAGTAAAAATATTTTAAAATAAATTTATAAAATGTAGATGGGTAGGGAGAAGGAGAAACAAATGTAAAGACAATGCCATTTGGAAAGGGTTAACGACTGAGAATTCATCCCTAAAGATAAGGGGCAAACCATACAGTCAGGAAATATTTGGAACAGCCTATACAAGTCCAGTATCACATTCATGATGACCCAAAATCATAGAAGTAATTATTGTGCAAAACTAATGGGACTTAACCCCCACTGGGCAGGCATACCGGTTCCGCCATACAGTGGTACCTTGGGTTAAGAACTTAATTCGTTCCGGAGGTCCGTTCTTAACCTGAAACTGTTCTTAACCTGAAGCACCACTTTAGGTAATGGGGCCTCCCGCTGCACCGCCACACGATTTCTGTTCTCACCCTGAAGCAAAGTTCTTAACCCGAGGTACTATTTCTGGGTTAGCAGAGTCTGTAACCTGAAGCGTCTGTAACCTAAAGCGTCTGTAACCCAAGGTACCACTGTATTACCGCCATCTCCCCCCCCCCGAGTTGTAGTGGCCTGCAATTGGTCAGAAGAGGGAGCAAATAATTTCTAGCCATAGTGCAGTTGTCTGCTCTTTACTCTGCTACTAATGCTATTCCATGTCTATGTGGCCTTCTGTTTTTCTGCCAGGGTCAAAGTTGTAGAGAATAATGTTAGACTCGGGTGAAATCAATTATATATGCATATTTATGCTGGCAATAATAAAAAAATAATCTCTTGATTACAAGGTCTCGTTGTAATCTGTACACCTGTACAAAATATGGTTCTCCTTGAATTCTCTAAAATGTTTATCCATCCTCTTCTTTAGACATCAGTACCAATAATAAATGTTTTCTTGCAAGCTAGACAGCTTTCAGTCTCTGTGCATATCTTTCCATTTCTGCTATAGAGACACAGTTCACACGTATCCTTAAGGCAATAGACCAAGATGACAAAAGGTGAAAAAAAATAAGTCAGGCAACAATTAAAAAACAACACGTGCCCACTCAAAACAAGCACAAAAATACAATAATGAATATATATATATATATATCCCAAGACAAGCTGTTCAGAGCATAAAAATATCTCTCATGTACTTTCTCCAAACTAGCCCTGCAAATCCATCAGCATCAAGTACGAAGTGAAAAGGCAATTACCGAGAACCCAAGAAAAAAACTTCACTAAGCACGAGCAACTCCAGAGGCCTCCTCACTCTGCCCGACTAGAATTAAAGGATCTAGGGGTAGCCAATGCAGTGCCCTCTATATGCTGGTGGACTGAAAGTCCCACCAGCCCCAGCCGGCATGGGCAATGGTCAGGGACAGCGCAAGTTGTAGTTCAGCAGCATCTGGAGGGCACCATGTTGGGTACTCCTGGGTTACATCTACATGGGGGAAGCGCCATGGAGAAGGGAGGAACAGAAGGAAGGTAAGAATGAAAAGTGGGCTGGAGGAATTTGGTAAGTTAATGAATTGTGGGGTGAGAATGTGACATGACTTCTGAGACCAGTGCAATGAGTTAACCAGAGGCAGTTTGCAAGAAACATTTGAGTTGTATTGTATTGTATTCCCCGCCCCCCAGTTTTCCAGTTTGTAGTTACATATTCAGTGTGCATCTTTTGTATAATTTTAAGTTTTGAGTCAAGTTCCGGTTTAGATTGTTTCTTTCAGGCTATGTTCAGTTTCTATCTGCTGCTTGCTTCGCTTTTTTGTCATTTAGAGTGCTTGGTACATTTTGGTGGTTTCTCTGATCTGGTGTGGGTTGTGGCTTGGGCACTCTTGTGTCAGTTCTGACAGGATGTCATGAAGAATTTCACTAAAGCCAAGGAACACTATAGTGTTGATGTAGTACATCAATATATTGTGTTTTGGGTCTAAGGGAGAATAACAAGTGCTATCTCATGCCAGAAGCTTAACTTTGGAGATAGAAGGATTAGTGCATTTGTAGTTGGGTTTTAACATTAATCTTGAAAATAAAAAATTGTTTTGCTTTCCACAACCCCATGCATTTATTTGTGCAAAGGAACTATAACATTATACTGGACTGCCCAGTTAATTCAACACAAATCTCACTGACAGCAAAAGTTTGTGGCTGGTATGTTGGAAGTGAAGGTTCAGATTTCATTGGATAAATATCAAGGTGGGATCAGGAAAAGTGTGGGGAAAGTGTCTGCATTTTGGGGGCACAAGCTGCTGTTGGATTACGGTGACTGATGTTAGTATTTGTAATGTAATTTCATTGGGAATGTATTTCACAAAGAACAGATGGCGCTGAATAAAGGAGGTGGCAGTTGGTAGTTGACAACTGGCAGTTGGAAATTACCGGTAACAGTTGGGAGTTGGTTGGTTATACTGTTAGTTCTATCTTGACTGCAAAGGTGAGAGGTATGGGGACTTCATGCAGACGCTGTCTGGAGGAGTTTATAAATAATACTTGTTTAAATGTTGCCAGCCTGACAAGTGGGAAGATTTATCTTCAACTATTTATGTGAGGCATATTTTTAAAAAAATCACAGATAGCCAACAATTGATTCTGTGACGCACATTAACCTACTGAAGTGTGCTTGTTCTGGCTGCAGCTCTCAAATACAGTACCGACTATCAGCTTAAGGAAACCTGAAAGCTTTATTCAAGTAGTCAGCATGTGGTCTAAGCATTAGCCCCACAGTACAGGATACATGATTCATAAGTCTACAGCAGAGCTCTAAGACATATGACTAAGAAGTAGCTATAGATGTTGTCTCAACACCTGACATGTCCCTCCCACTCCACTTTTAACTGAGATGGGTGGGACCAGTCATTCATGTGATTCTCATCCCAAGTGAGAAGACTGTGCTTTCAAGTGTGAACTTCTATTGGGGTGGGGTGGGGTGGCTGGGTCTGTTTACACCAGTGCAATCCTTGGTGCCAGGACCTTGATCCAACCCTCTAACTCTCCCTCTACTTAGACCGGCCATGCTGGTTTGCCAGCCACCTCTTTGGTTACCATGGAAATATCACGGGGGGGGGGGTGTGTCAGAGCGGAGACTGACTCAGGCGCTTCCCTTCCCCTTCTGGATGGTCTGGCAGTACCGCAACAGATCCCTTCCCCAAATCCTTGCTCAAGCTCTTCTCACCTCCGGTTCCTCCTTCTCCTCCACTGGCAGATCTTGCCCTTCCTTTGGGATTACTTATTTTTTTAACTTCCCATCAGCTGCCAGAACCATGGGATATTTTCATTGTTTCGAAGCTATCAGCGTTGCTTGTTTCTGAGCTGTGACAATTAGGAAAGTAAATGGGGTAGGCTGCAGGAGATAAGGTGTCACGGAAATGATCGCAGTATTAAAAAATCTGGTATTAAAAAATCCATGCAAGCCACTGTGGAAATATAAATCTATTGAATCATTGCAAAGTTTAATTCCTTTGAAAACTGGTTCCAATCAGAGAATCAGATTTCTTTAGATGGGTATGCCTAACAAGATCTGCTTCTGCCATCAACTCTCCATCAGGGTAACATAAATTGGCCTGCCAGTTATATCAGAATATCTTGCTATGATGTTTCTAAGAATATTTATAAACTTCTGGAATCTCCCAAACCAAAATGGGCAGTTTCTTTGGAAGAGTTCAATGTAGCATATTTTCTTAAGAATCATTTTGTAGCCGAAGTGATTCCCCCCCCCCCCCCGGCAAAGAAATAGTGTTGTTTTCAGAATAATGGGCCATATTTTGTCAGAAAAATAGATAACGGTGAACTGCCATCTAGCTCATTAATGTTGGCATGGTCTCCAGGTCATACGACAGGAGATACCATATCTGGAAATACCAAGGTATGAATTTGGAACAGTGTTCTCTAAGCTACTAACGTGAGTTTGACCAAACTGCGGGAGGCAGTGGAAGACAGGAGTGCCTGGCATGCTCTGGTCCATGGGGTCATGAAGAGTCGGACACAACTAAACGACTAAATAGCAACAACATGTGAAGCATATGCTGTGAATATGAGCTACAGTCCTTCCACTTAAAGCCATAATTGTTACCCTATATATATATTCATAGAATCATAGAGTTGGAAGGGACCACAGGGGTCATATACTCCAACCCGCTGCAATGCAGGAATCTTTTGCCCAAAAATAGAAGGTTGCTGCCCTTCACTTACCAGACACAAAACAAAGTAAGTTGGAAGCTTTTCCCATAATTGGTACAGACATCACATCACTTTAGGCACACTGGCTTGTATCCAATGCAGCACCAAGCTAGCATCCTATTCGTATAAGGATTTATGCTTGCACAATGAGACTCGCCTTCCTCTCCTTCCCCACAGTAAAAGGTAAAGGTAAAGGGGCCCCTGACCATTAGGTCCAGTCGTGACCGACTCTGGGGTTGCGGCACTCATCTCGCTTTATTGGCCGAGGGAGCCGGCGTACAGCTTCCAGGTCATGTGGCCAGCATGACTAAGCCACTTCTGGCGAACCAGAGCAGCACACGGAAATGCCGTTTACCTTCCTGCCGGAAGGTATTTATCTACTTGCACTTTGACATGCTTTCGAACTGCTAGGTTGGCAGGAGCAGGGACCAAGCAACAGGAGCTCACCCCGTCACGGGGATTTGAACCGCCGACCTTCTGATCGGCAAGTCCTAGGCTAGGTTTAACCCACAGCACCACCCGCGTCCCTCTCCTTCCCCACATGCATCCCCTAAATCTACTCTGGGGCTTCTGTTTTCTTTGGAAGGTCCTAGTGAATCTCCTCATTCAACTTGTCCAGTACTGGTTTCTTTCCCTATACAGTATTCCCCTGGTATACTTGGTTCCATGTTTATTTCTTAGTTTGTAAAACAGCGTGCTCTAGATGTGATTGCAAGCGTGGGTTTCTGCAGAAGATTCAGGACAGACAAAAGAAAGCATTTCTTCACCCAGCACACAGTTAAACTGTGAGGATTGCTACTGTAAGAGGTAGTGACAGCCACCAAATTGGGTGGTTTTAAAAGGGGGTTAGCTAAATTCATGAAGGATACAGCTATACTGTATAAGTGTACAGTGGTACCTCAGGTTACAGACGCTTCAGGTTACAGACGCTTCAGGTTACAGACTCCGCTAACCTAGAAATAGTACCTCAGGTTAAGAACTTTGCTTCAGGATGAGAACAGAAATCGCGCAGTGGTGGCGCGGTGGCAGTGCGGTGGCAGCGGAAGGTCCCATTAGCGAAAGTGGTACCTCAGGTTAAGAACAGTACCAGGTTAAGAACGGACCTCCGGAACGAATTAAGTTCTTAACCCGAGGTACCACTGTATATGGTTCTAACCATGATGTGATCCACCTCCACTGTCAAAAGCAGTATGCTTCTGAATACCATTTACTACAGTTCAGGAGAATGTCGTTACACTCAGATTCTACTAGCGGGGTTCCCATGAACACATGGCTGATCACCGTGAAAACAAAATCCTGGACTAGATGGGTCTTTGTCCTGATCCTGTGGGACTCTTTTTTCTGTTCTTATGTGAACCCACACCCTGGGATAGCTCAGACGGTAGAGCATGATACCGTTAATCTCAAGGTCATGGGTTCGAGCCCCACATTGGGCACAATATTCCTGCATTGCAGGGGGTTGGACTAGATGATCCTTGTGGTCCCTTCCAACTCTACAGTTCTATGAGCTTGCATTGTTCATAGAATCTTCCACCTTGAAAACTTCCACACGTTTCACTAACTGAAGTTGGAGAATAAAAAGTATCCCTTTATATATTGTCTCTCCATTTTCCTGGGATTTTTAAAATATATATACAGTGGTACCTCGGGTTAAGTACTTAATTCGTTTCAGAGGTCCGTTCTTAACCTGAAACTGTTCTTAACCTGAAGCACCACTTTAGCTAATGGGGCCTCCTGCTGCTGCCGCGCAGCCAGAGCACGATTTCTGTTCTCATCCTGAAGCAAAGTTCTTAACCCGAGGTACTATTTCTGGGTTAGCAGAGTCTGTAACCTGAAGCATATGTAACCTGAAGTGTATGTAACCCGAGGTACCACTGTATATAGATATATATAAAACCTTCAACAAACAATTTTCATTAAAACGTACACTGCCGCCTGAGACTTATGAATGACCCTGCCAGGCCAAGCTGTCAACAGAATGGCAATTTATATTATTACATCTGTTCAGCTAGAATACATTGCAGCAGAGTGTCTCAGCAAGTTGTATGGGAGACTGGTCAGCCAGTGACAGCAAAGCCCTCTTGATCCTGGGCCAGTCGCTTAATGAGACAGACCATCCGAAGCCAAGCTCCTGTTTCATATCCTCCCCTCCTTTCTCCAATGACCTCTGTGAGGCTTTTAGCTGTTTAGCAAACTGGCAAAGGCACTGTCCCTGACATGGTAGTGTCAATACTGTCTGAAACAGATAACCCTCCAATTGTAGAATTATTAAAGGTCTTTTGTCTCAGCTTCCCCTATTTTTAAACCACCTCAAATGCTTACCTCTATAAATGCACTGTGAGCATGCTACTAAATGGATGTTCACAGGAAGTTTGTCGTTTGCCTCCAAATGGTCGGCTTCCAATGATGATCTTTCACTTAAGAGGATTGCTTGCTAATGGTCAAGGCTGACCAGCTGATATTTTTTCAGTGGCAGATAATGACTGGAAATGCCCCCCTATTGGGCAGTATGACTGGATTCAACAAATGAGTCCCATTAGCAGAAGCCAGCCAGCACAATGTGGCTTCCCCCACCTGCTCCTCTCCTTGCACCTTCAAAAATGAGCTCTGGGAGGGTTGGGAAGAACCCCCATGACAGCGCTTGGAGGCAGGAGAGGGGATCATTCCATCTGGCAAGCTGAAAAGTTTGCACTGACAGATCGACTGCTATAGCACTATGTTGAATTTCTCCCTCAATCTGCAAGGTGTTCCTGTATGAAACTCTCACCATCTTATTCGGCTGTGAATGAGATTTTATCACCATTTCATGATTATTTATTTATTAACGTTTATCTAAGCTTTATTTGAGGGTCACTCAAGATGTCTTATGGCAGCAAAAGATGAAAATCTGTCCTGGAAGTGACAAGAGCATGAATAACTTTGGCTGGACTTGGTTTCTCCAGGAAAGGGCACAAGTTGTTTCAAAACAACTAGCCACAACTACCTGAGCATTAAGCAGCAGGTTTAAATTCAAGAGCACTCCCAAACTGCAAATCCGCTGCTTCAGGGTTAGTGGACCAAAAACAGGAGATAACACACAGAAATAAAAAAATGTGCAAAATATTTGTGAGTGCTAAATAGATATATGGCTTGGTTTTCATTTAATTATGCATATAAGCTGCTGGCCTTGTCACTCAGCATAAGGTGGAAATACTTTTGCTTACCTGCACACACATAGCAACAGAATACTTTCTTGGATATACAAAACTGCATATATTGATTTTAGTATTACAAAAACACTAGACTGGAGCATGACATTAGATCTTATGGAACCAGCCCACATATTGGACTCACCAATTATGAGTCTTGTTTGCTATGCTGCTAAGGTTACTACCTTTTGAAGAAAATCTGACACCTGGGTAGGACCTGAACTTGAGAGAAATTGGGGAGGAACCTGATAGACTCTGGTGGGGAAAGAGCAATATACAGTGGTGCCCCGCAAGACGAATGCCTCGCAAGACGAAAAACCCGCTAGACGAAAGGGTTTTCCGTTTTTCGATGCGCTTCGCAGGATGAATTTCCCTATGGGCTTGCTTCGCAAGACGAAAATGTCTTGCGAGTCTTGAGATTTTTTTCGCTTCCCCCCCTTTTTCTAAGCCGCTAAGCCGCTAATAGCCTTTTAGCCGCTAAGCCGCTAAGCCTTTAATAGCCGCTAAACCGCTAATAGCACTAATCCGCTAAGCCGCTAATAGGGTTGCTTCGCAAGACGAAAAAACCGCTAGACGAAGAGACTCGCGGAACGGATTAATTTCGTCTTGCGAGGCACCACTGTAATGTGCTTAGAATGTCAGACCAGGACTGCAGAGAGCAAGTTACATCCATACTCAGCCTTGAACTCAGTGGGTGACAAGAAGCCAGTCACTCCCTCTCAACCTAGCCTACCTCACAGGGTTGTTGTGAGGATAAAATGGAGAGAGCAGAGGGAACCATATGTTGGAGATTCATTCCCCGTGTCTGCAGTCATGGGATTGTTGTCTATCACATGACGGTGTATGTTTTCATTCCACAGTGTAAGAAGTGACGGAGACAGGATGTTTGTGTTACTGTGTTCCATGAAGTGGGACTATTGTCCTTTGTTCTTTTCTCTTTTTGCTGTCTGATGAGAAAGAGGCAGGAGTTAAGTCAGAATGCTCTGAGTGTATTATATGTAAATAAAGTAGATTAGCAAAAATGCTGTGCTATTGGTTCTGTTACGCAAACTGCGAACATTCTGTGGATCCCTAAGTGTGCTGATGCCTGTAATGTTCGGGCGGAAGAATGCTTTTGTAGCTCCCGAACTATTACTATGTTTGTTATGTTGCAGTTATGTGTTTTTTTGCATGTTGCAAGCTGCCTTGAGCATGGTTTGAATTATGGGAAGGTGGCACATTTTATCTAATGATGTATGTATGTATCTTGAACTCCTTAGTGGGAAAGCAAGGTATATAAACCATTTTTAAAACATAAAAACAACCTTCAGCCCCCTCATTCCCATCTGCAATATGAGAAATCTAATATTGAGCTACTATATAGGATTATCATAAAGATTACTGAGGTAATGAATATGAATTGCTTTGGATACTCACTGCGCAAATGCCAATTATTGTTTTAAGTCTTGAATGTAATTTATTTCTAGAACAAAATCTTCAGAAAGGCTCAAAATGCCATGGCATATTTTAATGTTGTAAGGATATAAATGAAAATATATTTGCATTGTTAATTTATTATGGAGTTTTTGACCTATAGAGATAAGAAAGGATTTTTCGCTCTCTAAGAAAAGCAGCTTGACATGCAAGCTTGTTAATTCTCTTGATGTACAGCATCGCTGCCCTTTACAAATACAACCACTTTACCTTGTAGCTTATGATAATTATCTGATCAGATAGCAAACACAAACGGTTGCCATGTTCTGTATGAAATGTCTTAAGACACAGAAAAGGGGAAGGGAGAGAAGTTTCTTTGCTAAAGTTGATTTGCTGCTCTAAGGAAACTCACATCACCCTTAAATTCGACGCAAACCGTCTGCAGAAGCACAATAAAATTCACAAAGAAAATAGGAAAATACAATCACTTTGGAGCAAGCAAGATATCCAAGTGCTCTCTTCTGATAGACAGGAAAATCTCAGCAACAGAGAGCAGGACACACAATTAGGCAAACAGATGGACTGTGTTATAATATTGATTTGAGAGATTGCACCAGATACCACTAACGTAGCACAGCTACTGCCACAGATAGGTATGCAGCTGAGCCTGAAATCCTGTAGTCATTTGTACAGTATTAGTATTTTGGCTTTATGGAGAGGACCTGTGTCGTCTCGGCATGAGGCCGGCTAATTTTACAGGGCTGCGCAGTAAATCAATGTGCTGCAAGGATAACACAGAGATAATACGTTGTCAAACCAAGGCCCCGTGAAAAAGAATGCACACATTGCATCTGGAAGGACACAGAGCAGTGTGTGTGTGTGTGTGTGTGTGTGTGTGTGTGTGTTGTTTTATTTTGTTCTGGCAACGCCTCCTGGATGACTTCTCTTTGCACACCAGCTCCGTGGCATCCCTCCAAGGTAATTTGTGAACCTTGGTTCACACCATTTTCAAAGTAGGTCATACACGGTAATCTCAGTTGAGGAGAGATACCCCTGTCAGCAGCAGTCACTAGAGGATGCAGGGAGGACGGCAGCCTCGACCAATCACAAAGCTGGTATAAATAAATAGCATGAGAGCTGTGGAACTGCACACGCTCCAAGGCCAGCAGCATCAAGGTGCTTGCCTTGTTCAAACAGCTGACAGACATGCTCTAACAGACCCAGAGCTCTCTCCCTCCCTCCCTCTGCCATTTATAGACGTATAAGGACCAACTGTTCTGCTGAGCACACCAGCGGCAGGGCTTAAATATTAACCATAATGAAAATACAGAATAAAGGGAAATCTAACCTTTACTCAGAGCCAGAATCTCAGCTAATGCTGACATATAAGATTTCCAGGAAAAGAAGTTACTATGGGCTTCATATTACCATGCCTTAATGAGCCTCACTTAAGCATTCCTCGTTCCTATGTGAATCACTGCACATGTTATACACTTTGTAAATCAGAAATGCAGAACAGTGCACATTCTTACAGAATGTAACATTTGCTATAAGGTTTCTCTAGGAGTTTAGGATATAAAGAACATGGGTTTATAAAGAATGTAGTAGGCTATTAACATCTACATATGTATTAGGATAATAACACTTTATCAATTTGTAGAAGAATGTAAGGGAGTATATTACATTGCATTTTTGTGTATATATTTTTTCTCTTTCTTATACACATCTTTGTTCTCCCCCCTCACTTCCCTTCTTTTTTTCTCTGTATCACTTTTTTTCTTTATAACTGAGATTTTTAAAAAATAAAAATATTAATGTTTTTAAAAGACATATAGGTCTGACATCTCTTTTTAAGATTAAAGTTATAATTAAATCCCAACATTTACTAAACCCAGGCGTATAGAACCCTCAAACTTACAACAATATAGATTTCTACGTACACAGAGTTTATATATATTTACTGTATATATTACATTCAGTTCTCCAACTGAATCTCCATCTGAAGTTCAAAATTGTACAATCTAGACAGATGATTCCCATCTAATATGCTATTTGACTGTAACTGAAAACTAGGAGATAGGCTTTGTTCAAATGAGTAACCATGTAAGAAAGTCTTAGGTCACAGGGAGTAACTGTTGCTGGCACTTAGAAATCTGTGGGTGCTCCCTGCCCCGGGAGTAAGAATCCGTAGGGGTCAAAGGTGTCATATTGTCTAGTTTCACTTTCCATCTTTATAGTTCTACTTTTGTCCAGCCAGACCCTGCCCTGTTTCCAATATCATTTTCACCCTTTTATGCTGGGTGTCTTCCAACTCATTCCACTGGTGACTTAGGATAAAACTATACCAAGCTTGGTGATGCATTGTTTGAGAGAGTGAGTGGTCAGCATATGTGGAGAGGCACAAAGGTGGCCAACATGGAAGTTGCTGGAACACACATACACAGGTCTTCCCTGATCCATCTAGGGCAGGCTTCCTCAACCTCAGCCCTCCAGAGGTTTTTGGCCTACAACTCCCATGATCCCTAGCTAACAGGACCAGTGGTCAGGGATGATGGGAATTGTAGTCCCAAAACATATGCAGCGCCAAGTTTGGCCATGCTTGGTCTAGAGTGTCCCATAAAGGTTGACCAACAGTTTTCTGGCAATGTCACCACAAGGAGTGCTTAATGCAATGATGTACTTAGTGAACAGCCTACAATTAACTAGTGAATCAACAATGTTAGTGATGGGGTGGGGGGAAAGCTGATGGAGATGCACACTGAGGAAAGTCAGGATGACACAGTAAGAGTCTATCCCTTTACCTTTTACCTGTAAATGTTGAGTGATCACCATTCACAACCAATATGGGAGACTATTCTCCTGAGCAGCAGGGTATTCCTACCAGTGACATACATATAAGAATGTACTTTTGTGGGTGATGCAAGGAAAAGGTCTAACCTTGATGGGCTAGAACTGGCTACAAGAATTGAGATTGGATTGGCAGCACATTTGTTTACTCTGCTTGAGGTCATTGGAAGAACTCTTGGAGCAAGCAGATCTTTACTCCAGTACTGGGAATACTAGATGGGGTGGCAGCCAAGATCCACATGAGTCCAGATGTAGATCTTCAGTTTTTGTTCAGTTCCTACTAGTGCTGCATGAGACTGTACAATGAAGTAGGAAAAGAGATATAGTATCTGGAGAAAGAAGGTATTCTGGAACCAGTCTGGTTTTCTCACTAGACCACTCTGATTGCACCAGTGGTTAAGGGAAATAAATTTGTAAAGGTTTGCAGAGATTACTGAGGGACTGCCATTCAAGATCACAAAGCTGAATTTATATTCCCTGTCCCAAAATTATTTGCCTTCCTAACTGAGTAGACAGTGTTCTCCAAACTATAGCTTCATACACAATATACCTTTAAAGCACACTGGAAGTGCATTCTTTCCCTCAAAGAATTTTGCGCACTGTTGTCTGTTAAGGGTCTATGGGAACTGTAACTATGTGAGGGGTAAACTACAGTGCCCATAATTCCTTCAAGAAGGACTTTAAAGGTATAGGATGTGTACATAGCCTTCATAGAAGTCGAGCTTATCAACAACTGCTTCTTGATGAGGAACTACTAAATGGAGTGTTATTTAGTTATTTCAACTTCCAGTTTGAAATAATAGAATCAGAGAATAATAGAGTTGGAAGCGATCCAAGGGTCATCTAGTCCGACCCCCTGCAATGCAGGAATCTCAGCTAAAGTAAACAAGCATTTTAGTTTCCCTTTGAATGTCCCGGTCCTCAAACACTCTGCATTTCAATAAGAAGAAAACTGCCCTTGCAGAGCTCAGGCGATGCTGGATTTCAGCATCAATATTGGCCCTTGTGGAAATATAAATGCCCAGGTAGGAGAAGTGATTGGCACTTTCCAACTTTACACCACTGAGTTGCAGAGGGGTTGTTTTGTGCTTGTTGGTGCAGCACTTTGGTTTTTTGGATGTTGAGTGATAGGCCAAGCTTTTCATAAGCTTCTGCGAATATATTTAGGATGGTTTGGAGGTCATCCTCTGAGTGTGCACACACTACATTGTCGGCAGCATATTGAAGCTCTATGACAGAAGTTATCACAACCTTACTCTTTGCTTTCAGCCTACTCAGATTAAAGAGCTTTTCATCTGTTCAAATACCCTGGTAAGGAGTTTCCCTTTTACAATGTGTAGGATCACTGAAATGAAAATAATAAATAGATTGGGGACGATAACACAACCCTGTTTAACACCTGATCCCACTGTGAATGGTTCACTTTGAGAGTCATTGTTGTCTGTGGTTGTTACTGTCATATTATCATGGAGGAGCCAAAGGATGTTCACAAATTTATCTGGGCAACCAATTTTCAGAAGGACAGTCCATAGGGCATTACAATTTACAGTGTCAAAGGCCTTAGTCAGGTAAATAAATGCCATATAAAGGGATTGGTTTTGCTCTCTACATTTTTCTTGAAGCTGTTGAGCGGAGAAAATCATGTCCACTGTCCCCCTAGAAGGTCAAAAACCATTTCGTTTCTGCGCATGCGGTGAAACCTGGTAAAATACTTCCAGGTTTGCCGCGTGCACATCCTGAAGTTTACGTAAACAGAGGTATGACTATATTGCAACTGAGAACATTGATCTTTACCTTAAGACAGTGGGAGCCAATGCCACTGGTAGTCTTTATAACTTGCACTCATCAAAAATAGCAGGGTTTTTACTATGGGGCAAGCACAGCCTTTTCACTATGAGGCTCCCTAGCTATTGAACAAGAACTTTCAAAGAGAAGTTTGTTTTGCAGTGAAAAAGATCAGAAAAAGAAAGCTTTAAAATAGATTGGTCTGTTTTAGAATGCCTGGATTATATTTAGCTAAATCCTACTCTGAGTAGACCCATTCAAATTAATGAAACTATGTCAGTTATGTTTATTAACTTCAGTGGGTCTACTCTGAATTGGACTAGCTTTGAATACCATCTTTTGTCACTGTGCTGGTTATGTTTTGTTTTTTGTTTTTAAACATCCAGTAAGGATGCTAAATACCTTTATAAGGACTAATAAAAAGTAACTGCAGGACTCTTCATGCTCAATGTTATGTCAAACAAAAATAGCAAAAGTAGGATGAACCATGGTGTATTTTAAGAAACGTCAAAAATGTAATTTCAGAATTAAAATAGAAACTTTTCTTTCATGACTCATGAGGTTGTATACGTGCAATAGGAACATAGTATGTGTGGGGGAGGCAGCCTGTGTTACAAGTTTGTACTAGGCACAAAAATATGGTGTTTGGACCTTGCTTGCATTCGCCCACATAGCCATCTCTCTTCCACCCACCCACCCCCACTGCATCCAAACCCTCTTCCATTGATACTCCGGGAAAAGGGAGAGCACTGTGCTATATTTCCTTGCCTGTGTTTCTTTATTATTACCCAGAGGATCCCAACATGGCTGTTGAAAGAACTGCGGACTTTTTCTGGCCTTGAGGAACCTTCTGTCCTCAAATGTTGCACTTTCCTCTTAAACATTTTTGTAAGGAGTAAAAAAACATAAAAAACATAAAAACCACAGCAGGTTTAGGAATACTTATAATAGTTGCACTTTTGCTTTTGACTGAGTCAGCAGGTAAATCTGTTTCCTTTTAGAACTTCATAAATATCTAACAAAACCTACTGAGAGTAAGGTATCAGAGACAAATGTAAATGCCTCTTTTTTAAAATAGCATTCTCAATCACTGTAATTATACCATGAGTATGTTTTTTAAAAGCATAGACATTTTGAATAATGTTCCAAATGCAGTTTCAAAGATTCCTGCGGGGGGCAAAATTGGCTTTCTTTCACCTCTGAAGGGGGAAAAAAAACAAACCTGGAGCGCTAGATTTCATGGAAAGAGACAGATGTACTTTAGTTTGGTGTATATAATAGCAAGATAATATCTTGTTTTGTACTGATTAAATGAGAGCATAAATAGCATTCATATTTCCCCGGTTTGTGTGTTTGGGAGGGAAAGCACATTACATTCTTGATCATGTAATGGATAGGGAAGGAAGTTTTGCTTCAAAAGCATAGCTATTTGCTACTGAAAAACAACATTTGCTTTATTCGTACCAGTTTTAGAGAGGAGGAGTGCAGAACTAAAGAAAACACATTTAAAAGATGCCAACAGTTAAATAAACTAGTGGTGTCTTGTTAGTGTATTACACCTTGGGGTGGGTGGGGAGGCCGGATGAGCTACCTGTTAAGTTGTGGGCGAACATATCAGACGACACAGCGATTCTTCCAAAGCAGCTCTTTATTTGTAAGCTGGAACAGAACTGAACTGAGGAGCTCAGTCAGCCTGCTTATATAGAGCTCCACTAGAATGCAACAGTAACCATTTTCTGTTACTATCCAATCACTGAACGTCACTTTCGATCCTTCATTTGCATACAAACTATCCAATCACTGAACGTCACTTTCGATCCTTCATTTGCATAACTATCTACAGTATCCCCCTGCTGGCCCATGGTGAGAACTTCAGTACATAACACTACCCACCAGAAGCGGTAGTGCAGCAAGAGGGTGCTCAGTCTCTAAGCAGGGATGAGTAACCTGTGGCCCTTGAGATGTTGAATGGGCTCCAGCTTCCATCAGTCCAAGCCCGTATGGCCAATGGCCAGGGATGATGGGAGTTGTAGTCCAACAACATAAGGAGCGTCGCAGATTCCCCATTCCTGCTCTAAGCTAATTTAAAAGGTCACACAATGGTTAGTGTAAATCATGTGTGTGTGCATAAAGGGCCTCAAGCCTCTGCCCATGAATCAGGAGACACTCAGAGCGGTTGCGAGACCTTGTGTTTCCATCATGAGTTTCTAAACCTTGGGCTCTTGCCCATCAAGGTCAGTACCTGAACCATTTAATCATAGAATCATAGAATTGAAGAGTTGGAAGAAACCCTGAGAATCATCTAGTCTAGTCCAACACCCTACAGTCCAGAAATATGCAGGGTTTCCCCCTATTCTCCCTACCCCCACACAATCCCCAAATTTGCTCTGAATGGTTAGGATAAGGTTAACAGACATCCCCACTTCCCGGGGACAGCCCCCAGATTTACAAATCAGTCCCCATACGAAATCCATTGAAGTTGAAAAGTTTCCCCGGATTCATTGAAAAAAAATCTGGTAACCTTAGGTTAGGGGAACCCCTAGAACAAATTTAAGGGATGCTTGAAGGGAGATGAGGGGGGAGACATTCTATTGCACAAAAAGAAATCCCCGCACTGACAAAAGTGGTATGCAACCCAGGGCTTCTTTTCAGCTGGAACTCACTGGAACTCATTTCCAGCGCCTCTCAGGTGGGCGCCATGTGCTATTATGAGAGAACAAGAGGCGTTCATGGTGAGTTCTGGCACCTCCTTTTCTAGAAAAATAGCACTGCCCGTGGTATATACACAACCTTAGTCTAGATGGTAATCCAATTAAATGTTATCTATAGTAGGCGGTATCTGGTTTTCAACATCACAATATATCACCAGCTAAACATCACAATCTCCTGCCAACCTAGCAGTTCGAAAGCACGTCAAAGTGAAAGTAGATAAATAGGTACCGCTCCGGCGGGAAGGTAAACGGCGTTTCCGTGCGCTGCTCTGGTTTGCCAGAAGCGGCTTAGTCATGCTGGCCACATGACCCGGAAGCTGTACGCCAGCTCCCTCGGCCAATAAAGCGAGATGAACGCCACAACCCCAGAGTTGGTCATGACTGGACCTAATGGTCAAGGGTCCCTTTACCTTAAACATCACAATATTTCGATATATCACAATGTTTGAAATAAGGTTGGAACTATGTAGAGGTGAATATGGTAATGCCCTGGCAACTGCTACTATTTATGGGTCTAACTCTAAAACTGATAAATTTTTACTTACCATTAACATATTGTTAAAACTGTTATGTTATAGCATATTTTCTCTAAACTTAAAGCTGTAGAAGTAATTCAGTAGCATAAATATCAAAGGTAAGTTGAGAGAATGTTTCCTAAAAAATTAATTACATTACTAAACAAGAAAAAAGCCAATTCACAATTGTTATGTATTATCACCGTCACACTTTTAGATATTCAAATATATTTCACTATTGAGTCTTAGCTGAATGTGTGCATCCCACAACACCAGTTATTAGACTGTTAGTTAATACCAACACAGAAAGAAAAGAATGGATACATTTTAACAGAACAAAAAATTGCTAAACAAAATTACTATTTTAGTGCCAGGGGAATTTGCATTTCTTTTATAAACCAGGCGAAACCAGAATTTTTTTACAGAATAAAAAATGATTAAACAAACATATATATTTTTGCAAGGAAAATTTGATGCAGTTAATTACTCAATGAAATAAAATTTACTCAGTGATAGCGTGCTTCAGCTATAACATTACAGATTTCTGGAGAATATAGAAAATAGATTTGCATTCTTATTTTGGTTAACAAAAATAATCCATTTTCCCTGAGGTGTGTCTTCAATGAAAGTTTGTTATGACGAAGTTTAGGTCCCTGCTGAAAGCCTGAAGTCATCTACGCAATAAACGTAGTTATTTATTATTACATTTACATCCCACCTTTCTTCCAAAGAGGTCAAGCTGGAGTACATGGTTTTCCCACTCTCCATATTATCCTCACAACTATTTATGTGCTGGGTTAGGCTGAGGGACTGTGAGCTTCATGGCTATGTAGAGATTTGAGTTCTGGTCTCCCAGGGCCTAGTCCAACACTACTGCAGCACCTTACACTAAACACATAGTGGATATCTGGAATGACTGGCTTTGAATATCATGCCCCCTTGGACTGTAAAATCTTCGTTTCTCTGGTACCCATAAACACCAGGAACTGGTGGGCTTTGCCACAAGCGCTTCATGCGACACATTACCTTGCTTTAAAAAATACAGCTGTTTTCTACATTAGAAAAACTAAATATAGTCCTGGTCCTGGCAGACTACTTTCCCTTTTAAAATGTGTGTATTCTAGTCAAGCTTCTTGCCTGAATGTCCTTTTACCTTTCTGTACTTTTCTGGATATTCACCAAATAGGAAGCAAATATTGACAAGTAAGGTTACGGATTTTTCAAAAAATGTTGCTGGGGCCTTCTGCCTTCTGCCATGCACTACCTCCCTCATTTATCCAAGCCCACTATTTATCTAAACTAGATGCATGCCTCCTCCCTATCCAGATACATGATCCATTCAAGTATCAGCAATCTATAATTAGCGAGAACGGAGGACTGCAAGAGTTATTTAGCATGTGTGAGTACAGCTTGTTGGAAAGTATTCTAAAGCTGATAGCGCCCTCCAACTCCAGCTGCCCAGTCAAAGTCACAGCCACTGAACTGTACAGTGATTATGTACTGGATCTGCAGATGCATGACTAGCATGAGTGTGCTGTTTCTTTAGATCCATAACTCTCTTCTGTTTCTGCATGCAATAACCTTGAGGTCTCTTTCTAAGGCCTAATAATACATTGCTCTCCCTTTGGGTTGCTATAGTGCTGATGGTTTCCATTTTCAGTATTTTTAAATTGTTGCACACACCTCAATCCCAAAGCAGGGGTGTCTGATTTTTTATTTTATTTGGACAGATGTACAACCTGAGCAAAAGACAGAAGAACTAAAAGCATTAACACTCCAACAGATCTTGCTTTCCCATTAGCTGTTGGGGAGGCAGGTCCCAAAGCCATAACTTTGGATTCAGCACACAGAGCAAATTAAACTTCCATGTCTCTTTCCAGCTTCCTGTTCATAATAGACAAAACAAAAGACTAGACTTTGGCCTATTGTTCTCCTTCTTAGAGCCTGGTGGGTGGCTGGAATTATCCCATTCTTCTGGAAGCACCATAAGCTAGTTGTTCCTACAGCAACACAGTCAATTCTTTAGAGCCAGTGTGGTGTAGTGGTTAAGAGCGGTAGACTTGTAATCTGGGGAACCGGGTTCGCTTCCCTGCTCCTCCACATGCAGCTGCTGGGTGACCTTGGGCCAGTCACACTTCTTTGAAGTCTCTCAGCCCCACTCACCTCACAGAGCGTTTGTTGTGGGGGAGGAAGGGAAAGGAGAATGTTAGCCGCTTTGAGACTCCTTCGGGTAGTGATAAAGCGGGATATCTAATCCAAACTCTTCTTCTTCTTCTTCTTTAGTCATGCAGATAGGGTGCTTGTCCAGCTAAGGCCATTAGTTAGTCAGTCAGTCAGTCAGTCAGTCAGTCAGGCTAAAGCCATTAACTTAGCAAAGGCACTGGTTTGACCACTTCAGCAGTCCCTTCTACTATAAACTACAGTCATAGAGATATAAAATAACAGGCTTGACTGAGATCCAAAGGCATCATCCAAACCAACCTCCCAATCCAATAACATTCTTATTTTACTTTTAAGTATTTGACAACTAATAGAAATATATGCTTAGGATAGAGTTGATTGCACCTCGGTTTCTAATACTGGATATATTGGTAATTTTTGTTTAAATAAAAACAGAAGATTGTATGCTTTTCAATTTATAGCCAGGATGGGGAGCCTATGGCCATCCAGATTTTGCTGGACTACAACTCCCATCACCCTTGATCATTGGCCATTCTGGCTGGAGCTGATGGGAACTGGAATCCAACAAAATCCCCAACAAAAGCTTTTAGGTACATCAAACGGTACTTTTAATGTCCCCAACCTAAATTTATAATCATCTGATACTATACTTTTCTCATTGGCCTTGGTTAGTTTGGCTCTGCTTTATTCCCATTGGCTTTGGTTTGTTTCTTTTAAATCATGGTGCATCTCTGTATTTCCAGCGACTGACAGAAAGTAGAAGACTAAATATGAAAATGTTGAGAAAGGACATACAGTGTGCCTAACTCAGCTTAAGTCAGGAAATAGTAGAATTCCCTCTGGGAGAACTGCTATGTCTGATATTTCCACACTAAAGGCAACTGGATAAACAGTAGAGATGACACAGACTACTGAACGTTTAGTGGACATATATAGACACTACTTGCTTTATTTCTGCTGCGGGATGGGTTATCTGATTAATTTAAATAAGTGACTCTTCATGGAAACACCCACCCACCAGATAATCTGCATCTTTCCTGATGCCGATGCAAGTAATTAAAGAGGGCAACAATTATTCTAAGTATGCTGTCTTAAAGCACAGTTACTTAGAGGGAAACCTAGTAAAATTAACGGAATGTCATTCCAAGGAATTGTTTAAGGATCAGGCTATCAAATACAGAACTAAAGGAAGGTACCTAGATAAGAAAATTGCAATGATTTTATTGAGAATGTTCAGTACCTCAAAAGATTCACCTTGTCATATACATAACAGTAACTATTAATTCCAGGACCATTTGGTCATCAAAAGTCCATCAAAGCCTTATTATCATAAATTCTAACTTATTTTATGTTAGAAATTGTACAGTTTGGATGTTGTGTTTTTAATAGGTCTGTGACTGCAGAATACATTTGATTGATGAATTGATTGCCTTTGCCGGGGCCCTTCCCTCGGGACAAGGAAATTGGGTGGGTGGGTGAGAGAGAGATGCAGCTAACTCCACAAGGGCATCACAATGGGCAAACTAATTCTGCTACTCTATACCTTATCGCCAACATCCATAGATGAACCCTGAGAAGACCAATCACAACATTTTCTCCATCTTCATCACTTGACCTGTCAGGGATTTGTGTCTTGTTCCTTATACGAGCCACTATCACCATCTCAGGCTAGAACTACTTTCACCCAAGATTCTCATAAAAGCCTTTCTGTAATGAGGTCTTCCTACTTCAGACAGACAATTCTCTAGCAATCCTCACATTTTAATCACTTCAAAAATCTCCAGTGTGTGTGTTTTTATAATCTGTTTGCTACACTGAAATCACAACCATCCTCCAAAGACTCAGAGCAGAGTTTTAGCCTTACAACAACCTGACTTGTTCCAGACTACTGAAATGAATTTACTATTTTTTCAAAAAAATAGTTCTCTGGTAGTTCGCAAAACTTGAACAAACATATGTACCATTTACTTATGCCTACTACACAAAACTAAGAACTGAATATTTATTTAGCTTAAGTCTATATGGTGTAAACCTATATAAATTTATACTGTGCTAATTTATGGAATGCAGTACAGAAGGCTGAGAGCAAGTTGTGTTGCCTTTCTTCCCACGTTTTTGCTGAAATATTCATCTCCAGGTTCTCCACCCCCACCATTTATTCCCATGTTTTCTTTAGCACTGCCACAGATGTTTGGGCAGCTTGTGTTAGAAGATATTATGTCTTACCAGAGTGCATTTGTATATTTGCAGCATGTAGGTGATCAACATTCCAGCTTGAGCAAGTGGCTGTACCTCAGTACAATTAATGCTCTTTGTGAATAGTCGTTACAGGTTTATCCTAGGCAAGCTGAAGAACAGCCAGGCATTGCATCACTCCACCTTTGAAACAGACATCCCCTGTATACCAAACAGCTGCATCAGAGACTGTGAACATTGTGCACTTCAGAAACACTATAATCATGGCAGATGATGGATGGGTGCCACTACATTTTATTTATTTTAAAATTTATTTATATCCAGCACCTTCAGCCCTAAAAAGGTTATTCAGAACAGCTAACAAAATATATACAAAAGCAACAGTTCCTATTAAAGCACCACACCACAACTAGTAGACTTCATAACTGATCCTGCACCTGGGTAGGAAGAAACAGGAATGTGTAACATTTATCCAGTTCTTCATATTCATATTTCATTCAAAAGAACCAAGAACTATTTCATCATCTTTTTATCTTAGCAATCAAAAGCAGGTTGCTCACCCGTAACTGTGGTTCTTTGAGTGGCTGTTGATACGGTTCTATAAGTGTGTGTTTGTTTGTGCAGCTGTGCAAAGTGCGGAAACTTCTAGAGTGGGGTGTTTAAAAGTTTTGGTGGGAAGTCTGCTCCCATCCCTCACAACACATGCTCAAAAGCTGTGCATTCACCTTCCCGCCTAGTTCCTAAAAGATCATTTGAGCAGCTATATAAGAAAGCACTCGAGCGAAACCAAGTCATAATGGCCTCCACAACAGGGAAGGAGGGTGGGTTGTGTGACTATATAGATCACTGCTTGAAGGACCACAGTAAGGAACCAGTTTTTCTTCTTCACAATATCTGTGCAGTCCCACATATGGGAGAATACCAAGCTAAGAGGCAGGACACATGGCATTGGGTGATCACTGAGCTCAACACAGCCTATCCAAAAAGGCATCCACTCAGGACAAAATATACAAAGCATAGTGCCTCACAAATGTCAATGACTGCAACCATACAGAATCAAAACATGCCTGAGATTCCTCTTAGGAAGTGTGTTCTCACCTTGGTGAGGGCTCAAAACAACTAGGCCCACCTTATACAGAAATAACACCTCTCAATTGAACGTCATGGCATCCCTACTAAGTATGGCAGGTCCAAGCAGAAACTACAAAGTTCACTAACTTATATTGTAGACATGATGGGCAGTTAATTTTCTTGTACTAATCTTCTGTAAAAGGAATTCAGGCACCAAGCACTGTCAACTGCAGTATTGCTTAATTCAGGACTATTGTGTAAGGATAAATATCTGAGTAAGGATATTTATTTCCTTACTTTCAGCATTTTTATACCTCCCATTAACAATATGGTTTCTGGGCAGCGTAATTTTTAAAAAAACACCATTGGAAATAAAAATACAAAAGAAAAAAAGGTTAAAACAACATCAGAATAAAACCACTAGCAGAGAAAACAATAGCATCCAAGTACTATTCACTATTCTTCAAGAGTTTATGATCCACACATAGATCTTGTTCGTCTTTCCCACATTCAGTTGATACAGATTTTATGCTGCATTCCAAGAACAAGTTCCTGCACTGTTACTTGGAATCCTGAGTACAAAAGCAGAGGAATGGAAAAATGCTCTCCCTCAGCTGCTAAGGACTCTTTTCCACATAATAACTTGCATTCGGGAGAATGATCCCATAAATGGCTATGTGAGTGCCCTTTTGAAAATCCTGTTCCTGGGATTTTGTGACCAGGCACGGGTACAAATCCTCCTCATGTTTCACTGTTCACAGGGTGAGTAGCCTGCGTACCTTGGAAAGCAGCCCTGACTAATGTCATAAGATGAAGGAGTATAAAGACCGAGCTCTTTTAGCTAGGACTGAGGATGCCTCAGATTTACATGTTGCTGCCCAATGTGGTAAGCTATAAAGATGCCAGGGTTGGGCATCGGGCGGCAGTCTGAGATGAGCCAGCAGCCATGGAGCAAACCAATAATCAAGTCAGGACCAAAGTAAAACCAAGAGACAGGATTGAGGAAGAAGCCATGATTCAGCCAAAGGATATAGGAATGAACTAGGGCCCAACAAAACCTTGCTCCTCTGCGAAGCCTTAACAAAAGCAGGAAGCACTTTTATACTCTTTTCTGTCTGAGAAGATCTAATAGTCAACCTGGAATGGCAGGGTAAGTCCAGTGCCTAACGATACTACACTCCCACATCCAAATTCAGTGGCTCACCACATGGGGCAGCCACACACAAACCCAAAGGCTCTCAGTTTATGCCTCAGTATTTCCTGACATATGCCTGTTGCCTTTTGTCCATGGAGTTTTCTTGGCAGGGATACTGGAGTGGCTTGCCGGTTCCTGCTCCAGGTGGATCACGTTTGGTCAAAACTCTCCACGATGACCTGTCCATCTTGGGTGGCCCTGCACGGCATAGCTCATAGCTTCTCTGAGTTATTCAAGCCCCTTCACCACGGCAAGGCAGTGATCCATGAAGGGGAAAGCAGAGACATCACCTTGCCAACAAAGGTCCGTATAGTTAAAGCCATGGTTTTCCCAGTAGTGATGTATGGAAGTGAGAGATGGACCATCAAGAAGGCTGATCGTCAAAGAATTGATGCTTTTGAATTATGGTGTTAGAAGACTCTTGAGAGTCCCATGGACTGCAAGATGATCAAACGTATCCATTCTTAAGGAAATCAGCCCTGAGTGCTCACTGGAAGGACAGATCGTGAAGTTGAGGCTCCAATACTTTGGCCACCTCATGAGAAGAGAAGACTCCCTGGAAAAGACCCTGATGTTGGGTAAGATGGAGGGCACAAGGAGAAGGGGACGACAGAGGACGAGATGGCTGGACAGTGTTCTCGAAGCTACAAACATGAGCCTGACCAAACTGCGGGAGGCAGTGGAAGACAGGAGTGCCTGGCATGCTCTGGTCCATGGGGTCACGAAGAGTCGGACACGACTAAACGACTAAACAACAACAACAACAACAAATTTCCTGACATATGGCACAGATCCTTGGGCCGTGATGTGGCCTACCGTTTGATTTGCCTTTGTCCACCCAGGCAGTTCATTGGCTTCCTCCCCACCCCTCAAGGTTCCCAGACTTGTGCCTAGTTAACAACAGCCTCTCATGTGTTTGTCCCTTGCCTCTCGGCACAGGCTTGTAATTTACTGAGTGTCAGCTTTGATAAAGGTAGACAGCAGGCTCCAGAGGGTCAGTTCCCAACCAGAGCCCACATAGCTTGAACACTATGACTGATACAACCTGGCAAAGATATCAGTGCTCTAACCTCACCCTTAAGTAACAAGAACATCTTACAAAGTAATATTTCTTTGGGAGAAGGTTATAGGTTTCAGCAGGAAGAGCGAAAAGGTAATCCTCAGTGAGAGTATCCTATTTGCTAACTGAGAATTAGCAAAAACTAGAAGTGTGAGAGTCAAGTGTCTGCAAGGGATTAATCTGGGATGTGCCACGTGTATTGACGAAGGAAATAAACAGGGAGAGGCATATCTTGAAACCCCACAAAGAGCCTTTGCCTTGTAGCATACAAGACAAAACGTAAAGCAAAGCAAAACAAAACAAGCTGAACATAAAATGTACTTGTTAAACTTCTTCAGAACACAAAGTTTGAAACCACACATACAACAGAATGGAAACTGAATTTATAAAAAATGTGAGATTAAGCTACAGCATTTCGAGACATGTGGCATCCTTCTCAGCGAAGTTAGTCATGTCACACATTCCCTCCCCCCCTACTGAGGCGTGTCACAACCCAGAGAAGAAGTCACAGCCAAAACTCAAACTTCTATCGTGCTCTTTGTTAAACCAAGGCATGGCTGCATATGTCAAAAAAAGCAAATCCTCAATCCTTAGATGCTAAGACTTTTCCAAACTTTATTGGCCCAGAGTGTATGCAAGCACGAGAGTCTAGAATACAAGAACACAACAATATGCCATGAGATAGAACTGGCAGCTGGAATTCCTAATTAACAGCTTGGATCCTCCAAAAGCTCAAATGGCAAGAGCCCTTTGATGCAACGGCAAGATTGCAGCATTTCACTTTTAAAAGAAGATGCCTCCTTGGGATCACTCGTGTGTATTAATAGAATGCCATCTGTGTGGGATGGCCTTGCTTGCATTTCACCCTTCCCAACTCAATCACCAGATGGAGGTTGGGTCAGTGCGGTGAAGCTGCATTTTGTACAGATTATAGGGTTTTCAAAAAAAGATTATTTGTTGGCAACAAAAATGATACATGGAAATCAAAATCATGTAGCGCAACGTTTAGCAGTGGAATGATGGTTTGTGCTGATGCACACTGGAGCAGGCTAATGATAAAGCTGATGTGCTTTAGCACACCCTGCCTTAGAGTCCACCTCACTCCTTCTGGGTTAGGAGAGGGTCTCCCCTTTAATGCGGGTAGAAGGATGGGAGTAGGACTGGTCTGGGTATGTCTGGGCTGTTTCATGAGAGTGGAGCCTTTCAAGTACCATTTCTCCTGCCACTTCTTCCTCCATTAACACCCCCTAACTGCTCACCATTTTCTAATTCAAACACTGAGGACAGATACAAAATTTAAACTTTGCACAATTTCACTACCTGGCAAAATGCATTAGATTACCCTTCATGGTCTCATAGAAGTCTATAAAATTCAAACCACGTTAATTAGAAATCAGTTTTTTAAATAAAAAAAAATCATACAGGGTAGTAGTAACATCCTGTGATTTTCATAGATAATGAAGAACTCTTCTGGAGAAGGGTGTTGGCATGTGCTCACTCTTTCAGCTGATTCTGTGGATGGTCTAAATTAGTCGTGGTTAATATTTCCCTCTTATCATGAATGTCAGGTAGTAATGAAGATGGCACGTTTAATCCCAGATCTCAGTTGTTGTCACAGCACTAACCAGGCTAATCACACGCCTAAAACCACTTGCACCAAAATGGTCCTCTTGACTTCACAGTTACTCTAGAGCAGGGATGTGCAACCTGGGCACATGTGATCCTTAAGTCTAATTCCAGGCAGGTGACCTGGAGGGAGAAAAACAAGAAGAAAAGTGGGGGGGAGAGAGAAAGGAGGGTGGCTCCAACCCCACCTACCTTTCATTCCAACACTACTAATTTCTGCCATGAGCCTCTTGGAAGGTTACCTCCAAAGGAATGCAGGCCCCAAAAGTAAAAAGTTTGTTCACCCCTGCTCTAGAATAACTGATTAAAAGTATTGTTGCTGGAAAAAGGGTCAGAATAAGGCTTCAGAAGCCACACAAATAGAAGGGGTGGCTCAAATGACCACTCTCTTTTTCTGAACGCTGTATCTGATAATGCCATTTTGACTAAATCAAGGCCAGCACTCAAGAGAACACTATATCAAGACCAGCATCAGAGAGCTCACTATCAGTATATATCAAAGGTGGGGAAACGTTTTCAGTCTAAGGAAAAAGTGGGCAGGGCAACAAATGAAACAAACATTTTTAATACAATAGGCGAGTCTCTGCACACATTCATATGCCTCTATCCTCCATACAAAAGCATCACCAGAGTTCAATGACACATTCCAGCCAGGCTTGGGGTGTGAAGTAGCAGTATGATCTGAGGAAGGCAGGGGTAACCTGGGAAGGGTTCCAGGGGCCAGACAGAGATGCCTAGAGGGCCACATTTGGCAGCTAGGCCTGATGGTCTCCATCCCTGCTGTATATGATAGTAATAAATAATATGCTAATAAATGACTGTCCATAATTCTCAATGCCTGCAACACAGAGCATGAAGGATCTGAAATGTCCTGCCCCAGCGACTAAATTTAGAGTGTGGTCAAGTGCTTGCACTTTCCCTGGAGCTATCAGGAACACAGCACACGAAATGGCTTATCATTAACTCTTGGGATTCTTCATAGCTCATTTACTCAATATACTCAGAAGCTTTCTATTGGTAGAGCGGAATCAAACCCTTGAAAGGTCAGGCTTACTCAGGGCCTTATAAGCTCTGGCTTAACGTGAGGTATAGCTAGCCAGTGTTCAGCCTTGACACTAGGACTTAGGCCATGAGAAATGTTGTTTAATGAATTTCATGTGTATATTTTTCAAGGTGGCCTGCATAGCTCATATCCAGCCACTGATATGAATCAGACCTACTTCAGAAAGGTTTCTGGATCGTGTTCCTGCAGATCATAACTGTGGTTCATAACAATGAAGACAATTCCATTAAGCATCTGCCATGATGCAGTCGTTCCTCCCCCCCATTCCAATATCTGGCCAAGGCCAGATACCAGAACTTGTTGTGAATGTCTGAGTCCAGTCCTGGAATGTGTGAGATAAAGTGACTGCTCTGAGCACGTATAAAACGTGCTTCCCTCACTGCTGCAGATGTAATACCCAGTTTACATATTTATGAGATTACACATCTGGGATTTGTGTGAAATGGAGTGAGGACCCCTTGGTCAAAAGATGTGATTTCTAGGAATGCCTGATTCAGGCTGGCACCTCTCATTTTGAAAATGGAACATTAGCATAAGTACATCTCAGTGATTTGAAAAGCTCGTTGTTTTTGAAAAGCAGTCCAGAAGTCACTTTCTGGCCTTGCTTGGTTTTAGTTCATTAGGGGACACCGTGGTAATTGTATAAAAGCTGTGAAAAGACATGGATAAATTTACCCAGCACCTTTCTTCCTCAATGGTTTCTTTATTCTGATGTCAAATATTTGATTTTCTTCTATTTCAAAGTATAATAATATTCTGTTAACATTTTTTTTTATTGTTAATTTAAGTGCCATTAGAAACTTGAGAGCTTGCCTTTTGAAGGAATTCATGTCAAGGCTTTTTGATAACTTACTCTGGATGTGACAAGCCTAGGAATCATTCATGGTGCGCTTGCTCCTGAGTGCTTACTGTAGTGTCTGTGTTTTGCTACAATCTCCCTGGGTTTCTTCTCGGCTTACCCATTGTGGTTTGTCTCTCACATATGAACACAGTTCGCTGGCTACCTAATGGGACTGTCATCAGCCACAAAATGGCTGCATTTGTACTTAATACTAAACCAAGTTTTAGCATTACATGCATGCATAGGAAGGAGCTGCCACAAGGCTCAAGCTTCCATACTCCCCCATCTCCTTCTTCTGTGCAGCCACAATTGCTGGTTTGCATGTAACAAACCAGTTTTTGTGGGAACTGAAACTAAACCCTGCTGCATGGGAAGATGAGGAGGGCATGCAGGAGCCAAAGATCTATGGTGACTCCTTCCTGCTTGTGCCCACAGTGCTAATCCATGGTTTAGTGTTACATGCAAATGTGGCCATTAACAATAAAGGAAAATATTACAGCAATGCATTGCAACAAAAAAATTTATTTATACAAAGGGGAGAAGGGACATGAAAAATGATGTACAAACATCCTTTATTGCTTTTGCATTGTACTAGTGAGCAACTGGGAAGATGTAACTAATTGTCTAGCAACCAACAGTGTGATGCCCTCAGTTTACTCCCAGCCTTGAATAAGTTTCATATCAGCATGTGGACAGTTGAACCTATCAAGACAGGCCAATTGGTATCTTTAGACTGTACAAGTCCATGCTGGATTTCTGGTTTAGTACACTTATTAGCAGTTATTTAGAGTGAAAATCCTTTATAAACCGGAAGCATTGCTGTACAACATACAAGGCCAAAAGGTCCGTGCAAATTCATGTTTGGCTTTTAATCCATGGGCTAGAGCTGGCAAAACTAAACTGACAATTGGCTCCATATATGCCCCAAACTCAAAGCAATTAGAATTCATCCAGAAAACACTAACAAAAATCCTCTCCTTCTATGCAGGGGAAGCAATCTTGGAAGGTGATTTCAACCTAAATCTGAGAGATATTCCACCTACAACCCCATGGGCTACCTTCCTCCAAAAGATACCCCAAACGACTAGAGATTCTTAGAAATTACTAAAAATGCTAAAACAGAGGCCTATACGACATCTGAGGCAAAAACACAACAACCAGGAGACACCAGCCACACATTCCAGGCGCCATGGCACAACGCCCAAACTGCATAGCATTCTGCTCATGCAAGTCCTGATCCTTTTGGTTGAAACAACAAACATTGGTAACATTAAGGTAACAGACCACAAACACCTCCCTTGTTCTCTTATAATGGCAATGGCACCCACTTGAGAGGTGCCATAACTGAGTTCCAGAGAGTTCTGAGTGAAAAAAAGTCCTGCCTGTATATTTGGGGTTTCTGTGGCAAATGCTTACAGCAGATCAAGGATCTGTTAGAATCATAATCAACCTCTATATGTGCATTGATGTTTACTTTCACCATTAAACGTTTTCACATTATGTAAACACAGGCCTCGTATATGCTCTGATACCCGTCTATCCTTGGAAGAAGAGACTGACAGGCCCTAAGTGCTGTGGGATTTTCTTGTCAGTCTGACTGACAGCTTTCAAGGAGACAGCAGTTCATTCGACTTTCAGATGTCATCTACATGAATAATATGAAAAAACAACTCAGCTTTTTGTATTTCCCTAATACTTTCTCTTGGATTTTAGTGACAGCTATAAAACTCCAGTGCTTTGGGTGAGGGAAAATACTTCCACCAACTCTCCAAGCTCTAAAGCTCACAATATACAAAAGCTTTACAGCTCAAGACCTTGCAATTGTTTTTCTTTTATCATTCAGGCACACAACACAAATCTCTGCAATGTTTTAAAACATACAATATACTTTTAATGCCTCAGATGCATTACACTCTTTTGACAGCAGCTGGCATTTCACCACTGATATTATTTTAGTCATTTGACCATAATACATGCACAACAACTTCTACAGCGATTTCCACGTGATCGCATACCACTGGTGAACAGGCAACAGCATCAGCGGTTTGAAGGGCTTAAACCATTATAGGATTTAAGATTACAGACATGCTTATTCCACCACAAGGATGCAATAAATAATCCAATCTATATGTCTGTGTAGGGGGGGTGTCCCTGCCCCCTCGTCTCATAAAACACTTCCACAGATCATCTGCCTTTCCGCAATCCAAGTCAGAGTTGCTCCCACTTGAATCAGTCCCTGATCCACCTGTGATCAAAAGTGTCCAGCCAACTTTTGCTCAAATGTGGTTTCAAAAGAGCCTTTTCTGTCACCATTTAGGCAGGGGTGAAATGCAGTCCATTGGGTAGTGAATATTCTTCATGCCAGTTCTGGAGCAGTCTGAACAGGGCTCCATGGTTTGTTTTGCTCCATTAAAAAGATTTTCTTACCAGTATTTGACAAGCGCTATCACATCTTCTCCAGGCAAAACATTCCTGGTTACTTCAAACTTTCTTTTCTAACGCCATCTTGTTGCCATCCTCTCGAGCTGCCGTCTGCATTGTTCTTAAAAGTGGCGCTCAAAACTGGACACAGAACTCCATATAAGGTCTGACTGATGCAGAATAAAGAGGAAATGTTTCTTACGACTTGGAAGCTACAGTTCTATAAATGAAGCTAACTCATGTACAGCTTATGTTTAACTAAATTCTGTTGCTCTTTACACAAGTATTACTACCAAGACAAGTATCGCCCATCCTGTACCTACACATTTGATTCCTCTCACCTGCCACCCATTTTAGTGTAGAACTTTGCAGTTGATTCTGTTGAAATTTATTTTGGTCATTGCAGGTCAAGTCTTCCATTCAATCAAGGTCATTTTCAATTTTATTCTTTTCTTCCATGGTGCTAGTTATCCCTCCTGATATTGTGTCATCTATGAACTCAATAAGGAACTCCTCCTCTACTTCATTTTTTTTTTTAATTTCATTAAATTTATACGTAGCTTGATAATTATTCTGAAAAATCCCAAAACAGCTTATGAAGAGAATGAAACAATAAAATCATAAAACAACTTTAAATAATTCAAAATTAACAGTAAAACAGAACACATTCTACACATCTCGGTAGGCTTGTATAAACAAAACTGTTTTTAGCAGGTGCCAAAAAGAATACAATGAAGGTACCTTCATGATGGCAATAGGCAGGTAGTTCCACAGTGAAGGTGCTGCCACACATATAAGAATGAATGATTTTAAAATGTTGAAGAAGAGTATTGGGCCTAGATCAGAGGTCTGTGACACCTACTCAAAGCCTCTTTCCAGTTTGATGAAGAACCATTTTTGAATGTCCTTTGAGTGTGGTTTTCCAATCAGCTGCATATCTGCCTGAGAGTATTAACATCTAGGCCTCATTTAGCCAGCATGCCAACCAAAACATAATGGGGAAAATTCACAAATTCTTTGCTGAAATCAAGATAAATTACATCCACAGCATTCCCACAATCCATTAGGCCAGTAAAAAGAGAGAATATTAGTCTGGGATGATTTAAAAAAAATAAATAAAACCATACTGAGCTCTACATTGCTTGAAACTAGCCTAAGCAACTTCTTATAGGCAATATGCAAGTACTGTGCAGTCTTTTCAGAATTATTTGTTGTAGCTCAACTCTTCAGTCATGTTTACATGATTTCTTTAATAATTATTACTGCTAGAAACTGACTTTGTTTAAAGTGAGATCCAGGAAAAAGTGCCTAACAGCATGCATACCATATGGCAAGCACACCTGTTTTGTGTACAATGTTATGCCGCTGAAAGGGAAGAATATTATTTGAAACATACAGTACCTGAACGTCTCTTTTTCTGATCTTAGTTTTGCTGTTTGCAGTACAGTATTGATTCTTTGGCCCTTGTGCACCAATTAGATAATACCCTTTGATTGCTCTGATTGTTGCATTTATTTCTAGGTAATTGCAACTTTTACTCTCAAGTCGGGATGGAAAGGAAAACAAATCCAATGATGAAAGTTTAAAGGAATTGGGTAGGTTTGGCCTGGAAAGAGCTGAGTGAGTTGTCCCTGACAGCACTCTTCAAATGCCTGGAAGTCTGTCACACAGAGGAGGGAAAAGACTTGTTCTCTGCTGCCCCACAGGGCAGGATTTAATCTAATGCAATGAAGTCACAGGAAGTGTAGAGTTGCATTAGGTGACATGTCTTGATGGAAAGAGAATCACAACAATGGAACTAATCACCTAGAGGGGTGCTGGGTCCTCTTCTCATTGGGGGGCTATGTGCACACTATACATTTCAAGCACATGACCTCCCCCAAAGAGTTGATACAATTCCCAGTGTGCTCAATAAACTACAGTTCCCAGAATTCTTTGGGGGAAGTCATGTGCTTGAAATGTATGGTGTGTACACAGACAAGGTCTTCAAGCAGAGGCTGTTGGGGATGCTCCAGCACTGTGTTACACTGAGCAGGATATTAGATGGCTTACAAGGTTCTTTTCATCTCTGTGATTCAATGAAATTCTGCCCGTTGTGTAGAAGCAATTTATCTGTCAGCAGCCCCCACACTGCTGGGAGAATGTCTGAATGATCCAAACACAAAGGCGGTGCACTGATTACATAGACCTGCAGACTGTCCCGTTCTGAGGAGCAAATGTGCAAAGGGCAATACGGAAAGAACCTAAGGCCTAAGTTGGTTCAGGGGAGAAAGGCCTTTCTAGTCCAGCATTCTCTTCCGCAGAGTGGCGGGTGAGAAAGCCCACCACAATATGTACAAGACATGTAAATACGTTCACATGCCTTGCTGAGTCATTTAATTTTTTCTTCTAGCCACACAGGACGGAGCTGCTTCTGGAAAGAGAGTCCCTTGTGGCTGAGAGAACTTAAAAGCTCTTCAATTCCAAAGCAGGGTGGGAGGGGGGAGTCCAGGCTTGCTGACTGCCAAAGCCACCCACTCTTCATCCCCTGCCATGAGCCTTTGTATCCAGGTGCTAGACACATAGCAACAGCATCCTAATCTCATCTGTGCTGAGAACCATTGAGCAGCAGCTGCATGAAAGGTATAAGCAGCTATTTTCCTGACTTGGGTGAGTATTTTCCTGGCTTAGGACCAAATTGGTGGCTGTGGCATGCCTTTTTCTTTCTTTTTCTTTTTTTAGTTGGCTTGAGAACAACGTGATGAGCATGCCATTTAATTTTTCTGGCCTGAGTTCATGTCGTTGAGCAAGCTGAGTGTCTAGAAGTTGTATTGAATGCCTTTTGTTCTCTCTCCTTTCCTCTTTGTAATAACTCCTTTGCAAGACTGTTTGCGGGCAAAACCCATAGGTTTTTGTTTTGGAAAGCACTCAGGAGGTGCCCGAGTGAGACATAATAAAAAGTTTCTTCTTCAGTCACGGTGGGATGTAAACTACATTTTCTTTTTAAAAAAATAAAAATAAATCAAAGATCCTTACAGATATTTTGCTGCCTCAAAATATTTGGCTACAGGCCTTGGGGTAATAAAATGTTGTGTTTATGCAAAAAGACAGTGGAATAAAGAGCAGGCAAGAGTTGAAATTATGAGTTGTGTCCAGTGTGGGACCTGTGGGCAATCACTGGAGCATTATTTCCATTTCATCAACTCCCACTGTGCACCCCCAACATTTGCCCCAGGGGGTCCCCAAATCCTCTGGATCTGATTTGAAGAGTCATGGCAGCAAGAGAGCATAGAAGGAGAACAGAAAGCCCCACTGCACACATGTATGCCTGCTGCACCAGCAGAGCTGCAGCACTGGATAAGGCCCTTTGTCATTTGGAAAATCTTAGCTCAGATGTGAATCTGACACACATCTTGGGAAGCTTCATGTCTCAGGTGAATTTTACCAGGCTTCACATGTTTATATACTGAAACAATATTTGAACCTGAGTCAAACAACTGCTGGGCTGTTTGCAGAATCTGGGTTTGATTTCTGGTGTTTGCTACACACACCTTTAAAACCAGGGCTTGCAACTCTGTGCTGAGCTCACTATTTATTTATTATATTTCTATCCCACCCTTTCTCTCAAAGGAGCCTAGGGCAGGAAACAAACAAGCAATAAAGCAAAACATCTTAAAGAACAATTCCAATACAGATGTAGGCTGGGAAAGATCTCTACTTAAAAGACTTGTTAAAAGAAGGTCTTCGGCTTGTGCCCAAAAGACAGCAGAGAAATGCCTATCTAATATTTAACAGGGGGGAATTCCAAAAACCGGCCCAACTATATTAATAACCATGCAGTAATTTGAAGTTTGCAACAGTGAATCCAATGGTAACATAATTTTCCAAAGTAAAATGATGTGCTTGTTTTCGAATGGATTAACAAGCTTGCTTCTGTAAAAAAAGTTAAATAATGTGTGACTTTTAAAATACAAATGAATACTACTAGTGCTTGTGTAGTTTCAGCATAGCTACCACTCTGATGTTTGTTGGTAGAATACAGATTCCTGAGATGATGTTGGCATTGTGAGACCATTCTAAACCTCCTGAGCGTCTGGGCAGGGAGGGGGATAAGTAAATGTATGTTTAAGATTCTAAGAAAGCTGAAGTCTGATGATAACAAAGATGTGGGAACTCTTGACACTACTCCAGCTGAAGCAAACTTTCAGCGAACTCTAGAGAGTTTCATTCAACAGGATGAGCTTACCAAGAAAACAGTCATTTCTGGCTAGGTCTCCAATACTAGCAACAGCTGTGAGTTCAGCTGGTAAACAGTTTTGTTTTCTGCTTGTCAGTGAGCTTCTAGAACAGATGCGGAATGCATAAAAAATAGGTCACTGAAATATAAAAAGGAATGCACCAAGCTGAAAAGCTTGTAGTGCTCGGATATTGCTGCAGAGCTCGTAATGTCAAATTGTACACTGCATGTGGTTGTACTATACATCAGACTGTCTTCAAATGATAGGATTACCTAGAAATTTCACCAATTGCAGCAAGAAAGCATATCAGCAAATAACGTAGGTGAGCTCCAATTCTTATGTTTTGGAAGCCACATAGTTTCTGCCCTTTATTATATTGATCCCACACTACAAAGCAGGACAGAAAGGAAGAGGAACCAGCAACTCATCCTCCAAGCCATTGTTGCCCCTCCCACCCACCTCTGGGCAAAGGAACACTGGCACGGAAGTAACTACATCACCAGCCCTTCCTATTGGCACACAAATGATTCATAGAATTGTAGAGTTGGCGCTCAAACCCATGACCCTGAGATTAAGAATCTCATGCTGAGCAAACTGATGGGTTGCTTAAAATGGTACAAATAGGCAGAGAAAGGGCTTGTAATAGGCACAGTGTACGACCTTCAACTTCACAGCAAAACATGTGCAATAGTTGTGCTCGGTGGAGAAATAATCACTGTTTCCCTGTAACTACAGTTATAGACTACTCATTCTCACTCAGAAATGTGCATAACCTCAAAATTATTGTGACAAAAGTGTATCATACACCAAAACACCTAGGAAGGCCAACTCAATCATGTACAAAACAGTCTCCCAAAATCAGCCCCCGGGGAAATTACCCACGCCGCTTTTATAGTGTTTTCCATGCTTTGTTTTGTGTTTTGGAATATATGGCAATCTTACAATAGTATATTTTTTATTTCTGATAGCAGTTATTGACCATTTGTGTACTTTTGAATTTTGGTATGTTTTGTGTCAAACATAATCCAGTTAGGCTCTTGACATATTTATCTAAACAAAAAGGAGTATTAGCATGCATGTTAGCATGCATGTGTGATATCATTCATTATGAATTCATCTAACTATCCAAGGGATGGGGGGAAGTCTATGGGTGAATGACTTTTCCTTCATTATTTCCGAGAAAAGTCATTGCTAGGGTTATGTTTTACATATCAAAATGTGCAAAGAAAAACCACGCTCTGTGAGTTTTGTTCAGAGACGTAATATCTAAAACAATTCTATGGCATTCTATGTCAGTGCTCAAACTCTGATCTTTATTTTGAGAGATACTGCATTACACACAAAGAGTGGGTAGGGAAACACACTTTTGTTTCAATAATATCTGTTTCAATAATATCTTAAGTGGATCTCCACTTAAGAACATAAGAAGGACAAGCCGGATCAGGCCAGAGGCCCACCTAGTCCAACATCTTGTTCTTATAGTGGCCTGAGGGAAACCTGCAAGCAGGATTTTAACCCCAAGGGCAATCTCCCCGCCTGTGGTATTCACAGAAGCATAGTCATCAGTAGCCCTTTACACATTCACTTTTCACACAGCAAACCAAAGTTGGAAGACCATGACAATTAATCCACCCATCAAGCTGAGGAGAACAATTTTCTTCGTTTGTCCCATACGTTCAACTCAACACCCTTTTTCCAGGAACCTCTCCCACACAACTTTGCACGCAGGTACATCCTTACTCGGAAAATTGCTGGTGTGCACCAGTCTACACCGGTGAGGGAAAAGGCAGCCTAAATGGTAGAGATAGTTCCCGGCTCTCCATATATACAGCCTGCTGGATATTAGCCCTGCTGCTATATATATATGACCACATGAAGGGCTCTGACAGTGTCATCTGACCTGACCTGGGTCTACCAATGATGACTCAGAGGAGAGACAAAAGGATCTGCAGAAAGTGATCTGTGGTGGCTGGTGCCCATTGTGACTGGCAGGACAGGAGGCAGGGAGACCAACGGTAGACGCATGACAAACAGAGTCACCCTCTGACTGGTGGTAAGTCAAAAGGCAGCCAAGTGGAAGGAATGGGGGTCAGGCTGAGGTTTGTGGGGCACTGCCCCAATTGCCCTAAGAGACTAGCTTAATGACCACAACAGAGGCACCAAATTAAAAATTCTAAAATGTCCTTCCTAATCCAGTTCTCTTTTTCAATCCATGTGGCTGTTTGTCATCTATACATACAGAAATTGGGGTGGTGGTGGAGGAATTGGGTTGGATATAGTCCCTCCCTGCTCCGCCCCTCTTCTCACCAAGGATACAAAACACAGGTAGCTGATGCACCATGGAGCCCCTAATCAATGGCCTGCGTTAAAAAGTGAAATGCTGTAATAAAACATTATTAAGCTACATTAAAAAGCAGGTTGTCAAATGAAAATGCTCACTAAAAACTATTGGCAAACGGATCTATAAAAGGCATTGGACTAGGAAAACTAGCCCTCCAAAAGGGGAAATTTTTCATATGACGGCGATGTTGTCTGTGGTCACAATAGTGAAAGAGCTCCATCTGCTGGCAGAGGTTAGAAAGCTCTTTTCAATGTATCGGTTCCTCTACCCCCCACACCACGTTTATAAATGTCTTCTCAACTTATGTGCATGATTTTATTTCACAAAAAATACTTTTACTGCAAGAGAGGTTGGAGGAGGCACTATATAAAGTTATCATTAGACAAATTGGATAGCTTGTATTATACCTAACTTCATGCAGTGGAACTGGCATTTCAAATGGGCCTGTATTTTCTCACTAGAATTGCCGCCCTTTTGTATAGATCATGACAAACCTACTTATTATATGGAAAAAAATTGCCTTTGAAAGCCAAGCAACATGAAGTCAAAGCACTATACAGTTTGCTTCAGGGCACATGTAACCGCAATCACAACGTGATGAAATTTCACTAACAAAATCAAGGCCTGCATCTGCTCCATACATTTAAAGCAGTATCATACCACTTTAAACAGTGGTGGCTTCCCCGAATCACTTTTCCCCTCATGGAATTATCATTATCAGAGTGATTTAACAGTCAATTCCTCTTCCCAAGGAACTCTGGGAATTGTAGCTGCGTGAAGCAAAGTGGGGTCTCCTAACAGCTTTCAGCACGCTTAACAGATTTATGAGAGAGGTTTTGAATATTCACACAATTCAAATAGTATTCTTAGCTTTCAGCCTTTCACATGTGAATGTTGCCATTCTGCAAATTTGGAGCATTCAGTACCCCATCTCTATATATTGGCTACTAAATATTTCTAAAGTGCCACTCAGTGCCACTCTCCATGTGCTGAGTCTTTAATTAACCATTAACCAGGTGCTCACTGGAAGGACAGATCCTGAAGCTGAGGCCCTAATACTTTGGCCACCTCATGAGAAGAGAAGACTCCCTGGAAAAGACCCTGGTGTTGGGAAAATTGAGGGCACAAGGAGAAGGGGACGATAGAGGATGAGATGGCTGGACAGTGTTCTCGAAGCAACCAGCATGAGTTTGACCAAACTGCGGGAGGGAGTGGAAGACAGGAGCGCCTGGCGTGCTCTGGTCCATGGGGTCACGAAGAGTCGGACACGACTAAACAACAGCAACAACACGTGAACCATTCAACTGCTCCTTGCCTTAAGTACAGTTAAAGTAAGTTGCAAGGCTACCTCTCAAGTATTTGAATATCAGGAGACATGGGATTTGCCCATTTATCCCATGCCTTGAACTCTAGCTTAGTTTTGTAGCCTTTGTCCTAATACACAGAAAAGTGGACTTGTCAGCCATCAGAACAATTGCATGTGCCATTTGAAAGGTAACATTCCCTGACAGATGGAAGTAATCAGTTTGACTATGCCTCAGAGTCTGAATTTGTCAGATGAAGGTCAGGGAGGGCACATGATGTAAATACAGTAAATATAGTTTATTCTTATCACAGCAAACCTCTGCCATATGTTTCTTTCTGCTGGAAATGTCCCTTTTGCAGAATGCATTTTGAACATTTCTTTTAGAAGAGAAAGGAGAATAAGGCTTCAATCCTAACCACATCTACTAAGAAATTAAATCCTACTGAATTCAACAAAGGGCTTCCTCACAGGTAAGTGAAGCTAGGATTGCAAGGTGTTGTGTTTTTTTAATGTATTAATTTTTTAATCAACATCTGTTCCAACAAGCATTTACTCCTCACACAACAGCTTATAAAATCCCAGCGGGGTGCAAAAAAAACTGAGGTGGTGGAGTGTTTGGAGAGTGGTACTTTGACTAAGTTCACATCTGCACTCAAGCCACTCTGGACCGATCAGTTTCTCTCAGTCTAACCTACCTCACAGGGGTGTTGGGAAAATAAAATGGGAACAGTATGCTGCCATAAGACATAATGTATTGGGGCATCCTCAGGTACTGTAGGAACACAGAAAGCTGCATTTTACTGAGCTAATTGGTCCATCTAGCTAAGTACTGTTTGCACTGAACAGGAGCAATGCTTCAAGGTCTAGAGCCTGTGGGCACATCTGGAATTTTGAGCATGTGCTGTAGACATTGCCCACCTCCAAGGTTGCTACTCTAACCCCAAGAGCTGCTAAAAATGAAAAGAAAGTACGCATGCGTATACATATACACACACCATTTGCTTTAGCTAGTAATGGAAGCAGATAATCTTGAACATGCATTTTCATACAGACCCCCTGGCCCCCCTCAAACCATCTCCGAACTAAACATAACCTTGGTAGACTGCCCAGTTAAAAATCACAGATCCAGTAATTACTGGCATTGCAAAAACATCACTCCAAGGCACTGATCCTTGTGGAACTTGGTGATCTTTAGATGAGGTACCAGGAAAAGTGCCAACAAACAATGCGACACATCTCTGAGCATAGTGGTAGCCTATGTTTTTTTTATGGTGGCTTTAAAGGAATCTCTGTAAAAATTATGAGGATCCATAAGGATCACTGTTTTGGCACCATGGCCGTGATGGGTCAGAAAACTTTATGGCTCAGTTAATATGTGATCTATGATTTATGGTGGTTAGGGAACCCCTGAACAGGGGGGGAAGTAATTTCTAGAGCAGGCTTCCTCAACCTCAGCCCTCCAGGTGTTTTGAGACTACAATTCCCATCATCCCTGACCACTGGCCCTGCAACTAGGGATCATGGGAGTTGTAGGCCAAAAACATCTGGAGGGCCAAGGTTGAGGAAGCCTGTTCTAGAGGATCATTTATACTGGCTCCAACTTGTTTGTGTATGCTCCCCCTCTGCCATACGATTTTCTCTCCCCAACTTTCACTCTTGGCTTCTTAAGTCACCCCATTTTCTTTTAAATTGTCTATCTGAGCCTTGAAAAGCACACAGAGCTGAAAGAAGACATGGGAAAGTGAGTTGCACTTCCAGCTCTATGTACTTTTGAAAAGGGGTGGGAAGACAACCAACACTTTGTGACAAAAGGCGCTGGGGGTGTCCTTGGAACAAAAATAAGATCCGTTGTAAATACTAGGCAGTTTTTGTTTTCCCTTTTCAATTATTCAGCTCAATGGAGATTTGAATTTTCTGGTTGCTTATGCTCTGGGGAGTAAAATGGGTATATTTAAATATATATATATATTTATCAGTTTGGCTCTTTGATTATCTGCTGGCATGCATCCTTATTGGCTTGCAATTCTGTTTGTAGTTATGTTCATTTAATGATTTCCCGAGGGGTTTTCAGAAACGAGGCTACAAATTAACGTTTACTATCAGCAGCAGGATCTTACACTAAATGTGTAGCTTTCACCAATTTATGCAAAAACAAGAACTCAGAAATTTGCTATGCTGCAGATGTCAATGAGAACAAAGGTACGTTTAACCATAGATAAATAAATATGGGTAGCACATATGGTCTGGTCTTTGATCAGCGATTTTAATCGCTAATGTAGTTACTCAGGAAAATAAAATTCAAGCATGTTCAAACATCAAGTTTGGAGTTTGGATAGAAATAAAGCTGGATAAAATAAACCCAGCATGTTTACTAAATTTTGTTTCCAGTTTTACTAACAATTACTCTTGTGTTGGCTCTCTGGCTTACAAGGCTTCTGCAAAGCCCAAATAGTCCTGGAGAAATGCCCTGCAGTCTAGTTATTGTACTGAATTATTTCAGTGCTGCACCTCCAGGGAATTGTGTAACTTGAATCACTCTAAGCAGAGCCAGTATCTGAAATGTAACTGATCTCTGAGCCTGAATGTGAGTCTCAGCTGGGTCTCGATGAGGCTTGGCATATATATATGACAGAGCCTAATGAGCACTTAGTCACTTGAAAACTTCTGTTGATTTTAAAGATTAAATTTTTCAGTAAAATATATAATCTCACAATGTTTTATTATCCCAAAATGCTATGGAAGGGGGAAAGTTTTGTACTTGCTCTGTTGAAAGGATTCAATGAGTTTTCCAAACTATGTTCTAGGTTTTGGAGGCAGGCAAGTGTAGCGCTAGTGACTCTCCCCAGCTAAGGCTGAGTCTGATGTCTCAATACCATGGGCTAAGGAAAATCTCATCACGACCAGACAATAGAAGTCTATCTCTACATGGGATGTGAAGTAATATCATACATGAAGGCGAAAGAAGGGGCTTGCAAAAAGCCAATAATATAGATCTCAGTATGCCCTTCAGTAGAGTGAGAATCGGCCCTGAATTAAAGCAAAATGTGTTAAAATTATATTCAGAGACATGAGTAGAACGCCGAGGTATGATGTACCAGGATTATATAAAAGGGCTGCAGTGATGTCAGAAGAGTCAATTAATCAGATTTGTAGGAGCTAACTATGAATATTTATAAACACATGCCTAATATGAATCATAGTACAGATTAATACTATATGCGGGTTTTCTACTTAATCACTTGTAGGAGTCTTCTCCCCCACCCCTAAAGTAAAACATATTTAGCCATTTACTCATGGCTGCTATTTTTATCCAAGCCTTTTTCAGATTCAGTATTAAAATACACATCTTTCAAAGGAACTGTGCAGCTTTCTGTACTTCAAGTCTACAATGTCAGGAGCCCTTTATAAACTGTGCACCTGAATATGTCATGTTGACAGCTTTCAGTTTTAGAACCAGGGGGCTGATTAATAGAGTTTGTCAGCTTGCCATTGCACCTCCCTTCCATATTAATGAGGTAATTTGGGTATTTAGATCAATTTAGGTGCAGGATAGTGAATATATGTGAAGCAGCTGCCATCCTAAACCCATTTACCTGGGAGTAAACCCCAGTGAATTCAGTAGGGCTTGCTTCTGAGAAGACATGATGAGGATGGCAGCCTAAAACCCTGAAGATTGTTGCTGTCCCCTTGGAACACCTCAACAAGGAAGAAACAAGTGGGAAAGGTGTGCAACACCAGGTTATGTATGGCCAGCCCCCAAGTCATTAAAACAAGCAGCAACAACAGAGAAGAGCAAGGTATGACCACAGGGTGATATTTTTGGGTGGGGGGACAAAATGTTGAAGGACAGGTACAAAGGACTTCTCCCTGTGAACAAGTATGCTGGTGGCTAATGTAGTTTTGGGGGTTTTTTTCCATTGATGGGGAAGCTCGTGCCCACACCATTGTGTTCCCTTTTTTTGTTTTTTGTACTTTTGGATGTGGCAGCCATTTTGTGACTGGTACCACGGCACTTTCTGAAAATTCCAAATGGGCCCACTGGCCCAAAAGTTTTGCAGCCCTGTTGTATTAATTCCTGTTTGGCATGATAAGCTTTCAGCTGGATACACACAGAACAGAATCTATAAAAAGGATAACTGTCTTCTGAAAGGAAAGAAGAGTTGGGGGTGGGGGGAGTATCCTGCAAGCAGTTAGAAGATGAGACAGAAAATTTTCATAGAGTTCCCTGGGAAAGAAAGCCATTTAAAAATCTGTATCGTTTTATTGACATGTTCATTTTTATGGGATAACTAGGCTAAAATGAAGCTTAGAGTACATGACCTCCAGATTAAGGTGCCTTGACTCAGATGGGTGCAAAGAGTATTGCTTTACAATTCAAATAATGGATTATGTATTTAGAGTTGTATTTTCAGATTTCACCGTAGATGCAAGTTTGAATCATAGTCTGTTCTGAGCTGAACTGCCTACTGGGTTTAAGGTTGCTACTTCCTCAGCAAGAGGTTGAGATATTCATAGCCATATGACATGCAGTGATTCAATGGGTGCAGATTTCCACCCACCAGGGAAATTTCATGTTGGGAAACCACCTGTTGAATTTCTGCCTGCTATGTTGTTAAAGGTCCAAAGCCTGTGTCGAGGGGTGGGGGGATCTGGCAGCTCTGTTACTAACCAAAAGCTCGGAAACATAGTTTCTTCTGCTTACAAAAGAATTAGTGTGTTAACAGATTGTATCGAAATACTACTTATTTGTTAATGAGCAAATGGAATGCAAGAAGTAGAGGTTTTATATTTAAACTGCATATTTGCCTTCTACTTATTTTCATTTGCAATGGTAACAGACTGTTCTTTCTCTCTTGAACACACACACTGCTTTTTACCAATAAGTGCACTTGCAAAATCTGTAGTGTAGACAAAACATGAGTCAAATTATCATTACATGAGCACAGAAGTAATTCAGAAGACTGAAAACATTTCAAGTCTTAAATAATCCTCTGTGGACATTTAGAAACTATTTTTTATAAAAATATTTTTATTATAACATTTCAGTGTAGGAACTCCACTAGAAAAATAAAGCATATAGTTCTTCAAAGAGAGGTGTGACATAATTCATGCAATGAGTAATTGTGTGATTTTCAAAGCTGTAAATAGTAGCTGTAGGGAGCCCTGAATTAGGACTATGTCATGTAAAGAGAAAGCCTTAACCCTTTGTCTCTGTTACAATACTGATCCAGATTCTTCATTGCCACTGCACTAGTACCTGCTCTTTGCATTGGGTAGGAAGTTATCGTTGGCAACAACTGAAGCTTCTCTTTCAAAGCAAATAGCAGAGAGGAGGGGCATGTCAGGGCAAATGGTTAAATTCCCTCCAACCTCCCTCAAAAATGATCCTGATCTAGATCAGTATTCCATTGCTTCTACTTATTTTTAAAATACTAAATACGATTGCTTCCCTTGATCTGGACACTATACTTCTGTTGATGCAGCCTAGAATAGCATTAGCTTTTTTGCTGCTGCATCACACTGTTGACTCATGTGAAGCTCATGGTCTATGAGGATCCCTAGATCCTTTTCACATGTACTACTAGCAAGCCATGTGTTCCCCTGATCTTGTAATTCTATCTGGCATGACTTGTTTTTGAGAAAACCATACTGGGTCTTAGTAACCACTGCATCCTTTTCTAAGTGCTCATACACCAACTATTTAATTATGTGTTCAAGGACCTTTCCTGGTTTCTACAACAAGTTGACTAGTTGGTAGTTACCTGAGTCTTCTTTTCCCTGACTTCTGAAGATAGCGACAACATTTGCCTGCCTCAAACCCACAGGGACCTCACCTGTTCTCCAAGAATTGTCAAAGATTACACACAGAGACTCTGAGATTACATCTGCAAGCGCCTTTAGTGCCCTTGGGTGCAGCTTATCAGGTCCTGGAAATCTGAATTCATTTAAAGTAGCTAGGTGCTCCCTTGCCACCTCTTTTCCTATCTCAGACTGCAGCTCCCTCCTTGGATACTTTATTCTGTTATCACCAGGTTCACCAGTGCTTTCCTTTTGGGTGAATACAGACGCAAAGTAGTTTTTGAGCAGTTCCACCTTCTCTTTGTCACCCAGTAGCATTTCTCCTCTATGCAGAGGACCTACTACACACAGGACACCACAGGGATAGCCAGTGTGGTGCCATTTAGATTTTGTAGTCCAACTCCCACCATACCTGATCATTGGCTGAAGCAGGTGATGGGAGTTGTAGACCACCATCTGCAGTAAAGCACATTGGCTACCAGTGCCATAGCACTTAAGACACTGGAAACCAGCACTGCCTATTATATGTACTGCCAAGACACCGGCTGTTTACTGAAAAGATCAGATATGCTAGAAAGCTCATGTGATTCCCTAAATCAGCACCATCTGGAAGTTCCCCAACTCTCTCTTATTAATGTGTTTGTAGTGTTGTTGTATCTGATTTTTTTCTGACCGTTACTCAGCATAATCTCTTTTGTCTCCTATTTCAAGATGATTCAGACTCCTATTACATTTTTTTTATCTGATCCCCAACTACTCTGATCAGTCATTTGAAAACATGTTTCAGATGCAGTTGCTGTGAAATGTTGCTGTGGGATTTAAAAATAGCCACCGCCTTCCATGCTAGAGGCAGATGCTTTTCAGAGGGGGGAAAAGCAAACTGATTTCTCTTCTCTCTATGTATAGAACAGCATCGTACAGTTGTACCTGCCTACTCACCCTGGTTGAAATGCACATTTGTGCACAAAGGCACTCTAATCCTTCAATATTTTGTCCTTTCAGGCTTTTTATTTTGGTGTTTCCATGGTGCTTTATATGCTGCCTCAATTTTTTCCTCCATTTCAAGGTTGTGAAGTCTCTCTTATTTAAAACACAGATTCTGCTTTCAGGTATTTTTTTTTAATATATAAGGGATACCCAGGGAGTCTTGGGTGATGTATGCTGGATTGCATTCCATTTAACTTTCTATCAAGTTGTTCAGGCTAAGATGGAAGGGCCTCTCCAAGGCATCCTACCAGAGAAGGCACTACATGGTTCAGTGGAAAGCTAAACTCATACAAGAAACATCTCCAGCAATAACAAATGACTGTTCCATGAGACAAACAGAAGCCATTCAACAATTGGGAGTGCAGAAAACTGACTTTATGATTTGTATCCACTAAGTCATCTTCAAAGTAGACCCACTGGTCCTGGCAAAATTAAGTCAATTGACTTCAATGTGTCTACCCTGCAAATGGCTTAGCGGAAGGTAACTCTTTGATTGAGATCCAATGTGTTTAGTGCAAGAGGATTGAAAATAGGCCTTGTTGTGTAAGCACTAGCACAGAAACTTAACTGTCACCTGCTATAATAATAGCCATGATTTGCTAGGACGAGAGGGAGAAACGTGCTAAGAGGAAGGCACGCTTGGCAAACCTTCACCATGATCAACTCCTGCCCGGAAACCTATGTCCCTACTGTGGAAGGATGTGTGGATCCAGAACTGGTCTCCAAAGTCAATTACGGACTCACTGCTAAAACCCTGTTTTGGAAGACAATTTTACTCGGCTACAATTGATCACCAAAGAAGAAGAAGAAGAAGCAACAGCAGCTAGGGGTTGTGAAACACCTTTTGCAAGTACAAGACAATGATTGGATTTGCCTGTTGTAGCACATTAAGAACAAGGCTTCTGGTAGTGGAATGGCTGTTGTATGAGAAAACTTTCCTAATGACAACTCTTATGTTTTGAAAGACCTTTAATAGCAAATTTTAAAGCTTATTCTTGTGCAGGGACCTAGCTCAAAAACTATCTAGAGCAGGGGTTCCCAATTAGCTAAGTACTGCAGACCCCGTTTTTCAAAATCCAAGCCATGGATTCCCTACTTTTGAAAATTTTGATAAATATATGGTGGATGTTGTTATTTGAATGGTCCCACAGACCAACTGGGTGTGCTAAGCAAGCCCCCAATTGGGAATCACTGATCTAGAACATAAATGTTGTATGTATTGTGATTAAATAATAATAAAAAACTTGTCATATTAATCCCATTGTATCTAATTACTATGGGAGTATGGGACAGTCTTGCATGTGGAATTAGCCAGATGAATTAGCCGGAGACAATGCAAATTCTTAACCAGGACCAGATTTAGGGGCATGCAACCCAGGCAACAGCCGGAGGCGCTCAAATTGAGTTTAATCCAATAGCCGAAGGGGGGGGGGAAGGCCCAGTTCATCTTCCCTAAAAGTGTAGTAGTATTTATACTGATCAACTCAATGTTAGGACAACACCCAGGTGCTTGATATGACATTTCACTTATTCTTAAAACTGAAAAAGATTCTAGGAACTTTGAATAAACAATTTGGTTTTTAACTGCTTATATATTATTTATGTTTATATAAATTATTTACAACCTGCTCTCCGTGGTTCACACAATCCCAGAGAGAAAAACAACATCAACCTACAGTAACACAATGATTCATTTAAATACAACTTAATATAAAACTAGTCAATATGCTAGCAAGATAAATACTTCTGCCAAGCAAGAGGCGCCACTTTAGTCCGATGCTTGGCTGAATATCCATGTTTCTACCACTTGTCAAAATGTGAATAAATACAGATTTACAAACTGATTATTTTATATGACACGGATAACACCTGCCTGTAAATAATACAACTAAGTCATGAAATGGGTTCCCAGGGGAATAAAAAACCGACATGTTCAAAAATTATAGAAATTGAGACAACGCGGAAGCTGCTCTTAATCTGGGGTGTCATTTCATCATGGTAGCCCTGAGTCTAGATTCCCATCAGCCCTAGAGTTTTATGCAGTGTCCAAAGCTAAGAGGTGACTTAGAAAAGTTGCCATTAGCACCAGAGGCTCACCCTGACGAACAAGAGAGAGTAACTTTTATAAGAGATTTACATTCCAGTTTCATAGAGTACCCTGAAACTGTTAGAAATTCACCAGCAAACATTTGCGTGTACTTGACTGGAATGGGAGCTCAAATTGTGTTTTAGAAACCACAAAGCTCTTGCCATAGTTCTCTGCTAGTGAATATCTGTTGATATCTTGGAAGATGAAACTGCACATTTCTATCTGAATGGGGATGTACTTAAATGTATTTTTAAGCATTCAATCAGATGTATTATTTATGCATTTTAAAAACCCAATACATGGCATCAGGGTTATCCGACCCGCTTTTTAATATTATGCTTATTCCATTATCATGGGCAAAATTACTATGTGACAGAAACAGTACAGTAGTGCAATTGTTAACATAATTGCAGTGCAATTCTTGTTATTATTTTTTCCCAACGATATACTGTTGCCCTCTGCTGGCTTTTATTATGTATGCAGACATTAAAATAACCAGAAAATGCCTAGCAAAAAAATGTCTGCACTCATATCTCAGTACCAGAGATAGGATGTTCATGTCACTGATTATCCATGAGCAACACTGCCTCCTAGTCTTTGGCTACTGCAAAAGAACTATTACTATTCCCCACAATACCAGAACCCCTTAATACATGCAATAAATCCTTTCTTCCTAGAAATAATTGTGTGTGGGGTGGTGGAGAATAGTCTACTGGTATGAATTTAGCCCTCGTGTTTTATTTTCCCAGCATTCTGCTATTCTGTGATCAGCCTGGGTAACAGTCTTCTTTTGGTAGTTCTGAATCTCTGGGCTGGCTTAAGGTTAGGCAGAGAGCTCTCAATAAAATCCTGGTATTTTCCATAGCAACAAGGCTTACAGGAACATGGTATCCTTTAGATTTCAGATGAAGACATGTGCTTGCAGCCAGCAGGAGATCTGCACACTCTCCCATACAAAGCACTGCTATGTTCTGCCACAGGGATGAGAAATCAGTGGCCTCCCACATATTGTTGTGACTCCCCCTGCAGTGAAGCACCCAGAGCAGGCGAATCGGTTTAGCTACCCTAAAACCATCTTGGTAGGAGTCCTGTCCTCATTTTCACATGGACACCCTACAGGAAAATTCGGGAAAATAATAGTCTCAGGCCAAACAGCAGCTAACTGATCATACTTAGAGGATAACTGCTAGCCACTTCAAGTCAACAAACAGCTAGCTTGTAAAAACATTACACTTCAAGAAAACTAATGTCTCGGCTGCCTCTTTTATATGATTTTCATTTCCTTTTCTGTATTTTCATGTTTTGCATGACTGGAGCAAGAAATTGAGTTTTCTTTTCTTTTTTTAATGTATGGAGAACAATTAGCAAAGGAGGGTGCTGTGTGAAACTCATTGTAAGAACTGGTTTACACACATGCATTTTAAAAAGCTTCCCTAGCAGTTGTTGTTGTCTAATCCCGTTAAATATTTAGGGTTTCTGTCTCTGATGTTTTATACCAATGGAAACCTAAACAGTCGCACTCTCTTGATGAACTTTCCATCGTTCTTAAAAATGTTGTTGTTACCATTATTTTGCAGCTACAGCAAAGGAACGGGATGCAAGCTGATGCAGGAAAAAGGTCAGCGTAAAAATGTTCCTTCCCTCCATAACTGGGAAGAATCTACCAATATTTCCTGCTGCCATTCTGCTGTTCACATCTGACCTGGGGCAATTGGCCATGCTTAGGCAGGGTCACCCAAGCTAAGATGCAGACTGCTACAGTGTGCTAAACGCTAGACAAAAGCACTTTGCTGGGCGTGATTTATTGTAGCAACAGGCCTTGGCAACAGCTTAAGTCCATAGTGATGGTTTCTGTGAAAAACAGGAGGCTGAGCTCCCTGTTCTGCTTCCAAAGAAGCACTTGTCACAACATGGGTTGCAGCACTTCCAGCAGGGCAACTGTCAAGGAACCATCATCCAATAATCCGCATCAGAGCAGAGAAGTCAAAAAGCAGGTAATATGTTGCTTAGATTTCTCTACTTCTACAAATGGTTACTTTCCAAGATCAGTGTTGCCACGCTTTGCTTCCTTTAGATGGGAGATCACTAGAGAATGGTGGTATCCCTACAATGTCTGCCTTATTTACACATACAGTGTAGCACAATGGAAGCAAATAGACTCCTGTAGGAGGCAGCAAAATCTCAAGGACCACCTCTACCCACATGAACAAGTCCAGGCCCTGCCTTCAGTCTTCGTCAGAGGCCCTTTCCCACATGCCTCATCTGACGTGCAGAGGTGGCAACATGAAAATGGGCTTTTACAATGGTGCCCCTCCCCCATTTATCCCTTTACTGTGCCACTCATCTTTTTAGTGGGGTTGGGTAGGATTTGTCCTTTTTGTTGCATTGCTAGATGAGCACTTTAGGAAATTTTGGTGTTGTACTTGATTCTTTTCTTCGGCTTTTAAATTGATGCTACCTGTCTGTGGTATATCTTGTTAAGTCACACAATTGCTTTATACATTAAATGTCTCAAACAATGATAGTAAACAAACACCCCTCCTGCATCAGCAGTAGAAGAGAGATTGGTTTGCCTCTATTTTCTCTCACGGCGCAGGCTGAAGCCCAGACTGCCACAATTACAGCATTGATCAACACTGAATTAAAATGGATTTACCCAACACAGCTGATTTGAATCACCTGTGCCGAAAATGTATAGAACACAATGCAGGTGCTACAGGAAATTATGTTTAACGTAAGAACATGAGAAGTGCTCCACTGGAACAGACCAAAGGCCTGTCTATTCTAGGATCCAGTTTCCCCCAGTGACCAAACAGATGCTATGGGAAGCACAAATGCAGGATGTAAAAGGGATAAACGTTTCTAGTTAATGTAACAAAAACCGATTTTGGAGAAATGAACCCTGTAACCATGATCATGGTTGCTTTCATGTGTTAGGCATGGTGATCCATTTTTCTAGCCTCCTTTACTTCCAGTATTTTCCTGCGCACCCCCCCAACTTGGTCTTTTCTTATTTTTTCTACTGTGAGGGGAGTGTGGGGACAGAGGAATGGACTGTTATGCAGCGTTGCATGTAATCACTGTACAAATTTGTGCAGTTCTCTGCAAAAAAATATTAGGTAGCAGTGCAGCAATGGCAAGACTAAAGAGCAAAACCTATGTCAATAGGAGCTGGGTTTGCCTGTGTGGCTTGGAAGAATCTACTGCTGCATCAGCACATATAATTTAGCTGCAATATATGGTCAGAGACAATGCTCTGCTGTCCAGTGAAATGCACATTTGCAGTGCAAGCAAACCAAGGGTGACAAGATGCAAAGCAGGCCAGGATTAGTGAATGGGGGCTGCAGTGAAACAGCCAAGTTTACAACAACCTTGATTACTTTTACAACTATCACCACTGTCATACCAGGGCAGGGGGCGCTAATCTTCCTCAGCCCTTCCCTCCCTCTGTGGCAAGCTTCAGGAGAACAGAATAGACTTAAACAATTGTGCAAAGAACACCAGTAAACTCAACAACTGGAGTTTGTTCTATGCTGTATAAATTTTGTGAAGATAAATGCTAATATCAATTTTTCCCCAGGCTGAAAATGATCCACTTACTGGAACAGTTAACACTGTCTCCCAAGGTGGGTCAGTTGCTGAAGATTATTCCAGTGAAGGAAGGCTGCCAGACAGCGGTACAGGAAAGCTACCACCACCTAATGAACAAAATACAGGTGTGAATTACTAGCATCTGAGTAACACAAAGCAGTGTTTTGTGTTTGATAGCAGGTAGAGAATGGCTAAAAGCCACAGGGCCTAGCGCTTGCCGATCAGAAGGTCAGCGGTTCGAATCCCCATGATGGGGTGAGCTCCTGTTGCTTGGTCCCTACTCCTGTCAACCTAGCAGTTCGAAAGCACACCAAAAAGTACAAGTAGATAAATAGGTACTGCTCCGGCGGGAAGGTAAACGGAGTTTCCGTACGCTGCTCTGGTTCGCCAGAAGCAGCTTAGTCATGCTGGCCACATGACCCAGAAGCTGTCTACAGACAAACACCGGCTTCCTCAGACGGTAAAGCGAGATGAGTGCCGCAACCCCAGAGTCATCTGCGACTGGACTCAACGGTCAGGGGTCCCTTTAACTTTACCTTTATGTTCAGTGTACATTTGCATTGTGTCCACTGATTTTTTTAAAAGGCCAGTTCTTGCCTAGATGTTTCATCTGTTTATTTTCTTTCCGGTTTACTTCTTCTTGCTCGCACTCTTCATGCATATACAGTGGTACCTTGTCTAGCGTCCGCCTTGTTGAGCGCCCGTTCCGTTGAACGTCCGCGGCAAACCCGGAAGTACCGGAACGGGTTACTTCTGGGTGCGCCGCTCGTGCATGTGCAGAAGCGCTAAATCATGCTTTGCACATGCGCAGAAGCACAAACCGCTCCGTGCGCAGATGCGGTGCTTTGTCTAGTGTCCTTTTCAGCCAGCCAGAACGGATCCCAGTCGCAAAACAAGGTACTACTGTACAGCCCACAGTAGCAAGGAGCTGCTCATGGATATGAATAGGAACACTGGAAGCTGCCTTCTACCAATTCAGACCATTGGTCTAGACTCTATCTAGCTTAGTACTGTCAACACTAATTGGCTGTGGCTCTCCCCAGGGTCAGACCAAGAAACTGTGCTGCCCGAGACAAAGGACAAGATGGTGCCTCTTTCCCATTTTTATGTATAGAAACCAACATGATAGTGTCTTTCGCCACACCAGAGGCCCCAGGAAAGTCCATGTGGCAACAGAGGGGAATGGCTGAGGGACTTGGGAAGAACTGTAAAGGACTGCTGCAACTACCCAACAGCCTTCTGAAGTGCTTTCCTCATTCTGCCCAATGGTAGGGCCAGTCCTGAGCTCCCCAGGGTTTTAGTGTGGAGTCTTTCCCAGCCTTACTTGGAGAAACCATGGTTTGAACTTGGGACCTTTTGCATGAAAGCATGTGTTCCTATTCCAGCATGCTTATTGAAGTGACCACTGGAAACAATTGGGAGTGCCTAGCTATCAGTATTGCTGAGATGAACTGTTTGTGTATAAACTGAAAAATTCAGAAAGATGTGCACTAGAGTGCACAGGAACAATGGTGCGGCGGGACTGAAAAGAAATCAGACAAGGAACCACTGATGTGGGCACTAGTTGAAATATGCAGCAGGCCCAACGCATTCCCATTTGAACCAAGGTCTATGGCATGACATCATATCCTGAGATGTTTTGCCGTACAAATCATGCTGATTGGAATGGGACCCAGGACAGTGACTTAGGATAACAATTATGTTCATAATCATGTCTTGTCTGCAGAACCTAATAGGCATCTGACTGACCAATGTGAGAACAGGATGCTAGATTAGGTCTGCTGATCTGACTCAGCAGAGAGAGCTCTTCTTGTGTTCAGATATAACAGGGGGTACTAGAAGCAGGAAAATGGAGGCTGATTCAAAGTATGGCAGATTTTCCTCTTGCTTAAATTTAATAGAAGCCCATTTCAAAGGAAGCCAAGATAAACTATAAATAGTTTAAGAGGATCTATAGATAGAATATGAGTCCACAGAAATTGAATACCATGTGCAGGCTAAATATTTTTGGCTGGTTGAAGATGGTGTGAATGATGCTGACTTTTTACTGTTATAACAGAGTTGCTCTAAAGTTTCTAGATACATGCAGTTCCCACTTCACTATGCGAAAATTCACTTATCTGCAATGAGAAATTAGTACTCAAAACTCACCATACATACCATAGATTCAGCTATCTGAACAGAGAGCATTTTTTACTTTCTCGTTTGCCTTTCACTGGTTGGTAGTGAGGGCAGGAATGGAGGAGGGAAATGATTAGACAAATCAGAGAGCATTTTTTCCTGAATTTTCCCAGGAGTATTTTGGCTTTTGAGGGTCAACAGTCCATGGTTGGGAGCGCATTTGAAATTTTCCCATGCGAATCAATGAAATTGTCAACTCATTATACGAACACTCACCTAATGAACGATTTCCAGAGAAGATACTGCGTTCAGTATTTTGCTTTAGCAGATTTAGGTTATAGTGCACAATTCTCCCCTCCCCCAATTTGACTCCCCTGTTCTTCATATTATGGACCTTATGAAACAAAAATATGAATTAATTCAGAGGACTGAAACTTAACGACGACGTTTAAAGAAATGCCCTTGTGTTGATTTTTATTATGCTTCTAAAAATAAAAAACCTAATTTAAAAAACTGCCGTCATATCAAAAAAATAATAATTTAACATTTATGTTTGTGAAGACATACATAGAGGTGGACTTTCCAAGAAACCAGTGAGCTTAACAGAAAGAGAAAGACAGACATCATCAGACATATTGGAGGAGCTTCGGGTGCAAGGAATAATCAAGACCTCAAGTGCAAACTCTAACAACAGAGCAGCAGATGATGCCACAGTAAGTAAATGTCAAAACTAACAGAAATACACTTTCCAGTCTGAGCTGATATTTCTGCAGTGAACTATGGGTTACTCCTGCAATGGCTCTTTCTTGTGGAATTGAGAATTGATTTAATTAAGCTGTTTAAGTAATGAATGAGAAATATTATATTATATTATTATATTGTATTGTATTAGTAAACATCCCTGTGACTATCTCTGGTGAAGGTTGGTATAAAAAATCTCTACATAAATAAATACATTTGTTATATTTATTTCAATCAATTTATTTCTGAAGGTCTCCTAATCTTCGCTGCCCCTTATATCTAAAACTCCTTCCCAAAACACCCTCAAACGGGGCTTCTTGTAATGATTAGTCAGTTTTTTCTTTTCAAAAAATGAACTCAAAGTGACTTGCAAAAGACACAAGATGAGAAAATAAATATAAAACAAGAATTAAAGCAACCTAAAATACAACAAATATACAAATCCAACTCAACCCCATGCCACTAAAATATGCAGAGAACTAAATTCTAGAAACTTGAGTGAATAAAAATGTTTTTACCTGGCACCTAAAAACAGATAGTGAACGCACCAGGTGTGCCTCTCTGAGGAGAGCATTCCACAACCAGGGAGCCACCACTGAGAAGGCTTGTTCTCATGTTGCCACCCTCTGCACCTCCCTTGAAGAGGGCACACAGTGAGGGACCTAAGATGAAGAATGCAGGGTCCAGTTGGTTCATGTGAGGAAACATGGCACTTGAGGTATTAGGGTATTTTTTTCTGTTTGGCATTTTAATCCAAATTAGCTTTCATTGACAAAAGAAACACTCTGTATAAAGTTGACATGAACTGAAAAAATGCAGGAGATGGAATAGAAGATTCAAAAATAGTAGCAAACAAGTTAAATCCTAACATTGGAGATAACATTAGCAGGACTCTGAGAACTATATGTACAAAAGTAACCTAAACACAACTAAGTAACTATGCATGACTACTCTGAAGTATATTGTAATGTGTTAAAATAGATTTTCATTATTTCTCTTTCTATTTGTTTCTTTTCAACATTATTTCAAATACTGTGATTTAATTTATTCACATGCATGCACAGAGTAGAATAAGGTAATTCCCCTTTGAAAAACAAGACTTCCTTCACGGACATATATAAAATTTTACTATTTCTACAGTTGATAGATACAGGAAATCCACCAAAGAAACCACCAGCCAAACTGGAAAAGCTCGAAATCAAAAGGAAGCACATAATTTAACAATAGAGGACTCTGAAAACAAGCCATGTGTTGAAAAGAGAAGAATCCACTAATCTGACTACATCATTCTAGTATCTGAATACCTAACGATCAATAATGTATGTAACATCACAACGTATCTTTGAATTAGGAAAGCTTCTGTTCCCCATGTTACTACTGAACTTGGCTCTTACTGGACGAGGTGTTTCTAAACAAGTTTACTGACAGAGGCTAAAACAAATCTGAAATTTTCTGCCTTCCTGCCTTCCCTCCATCTTATGATCTGATTAAATTCAACATGCATCCAGTGAAACAGACTAGTCCCAAACTGTAGTGCCACAATAAGTGTTAGGTCATTAAGGTGCCACAAGGCTTTTTGTTGTTCCTGCTTCAGCATGCAATGTACAGTCATAACTTGGTTTTTGAACAGCTTAATTCACAAACAACTTGGAACTCGAACGTCGCAAACCCGGAAGTAGGTGTTCCGGTTTGCGAACTTTGCCTCAGAAGCCAAATAAGCAGCGCAACTTCTGCAGCTTCTGATTGGCTGCAGGACGCTTCTACACACATTCTGTTCAAAAACCAAAGTACAACTGCACTGATAGAGCTGTAACTCTGACAGGAAGGTCAACAGCTTCTAACAACAGTATTACTCAGATAGTCTTAACACGGGTAAAACTCATGCATGGGGCTGGGGAAATCAATATTGCTGTGGTTGACCATGACCTTCACATATTCAAAGTGGGTTTTTTTCATGCTGAGCATGCATGCATACAAGTTCTATGCACATAGGCTGTCTCCATGCACCCTTCAAAATAAAGAGTACCAGATTATACATCCAGGGCCTATGCACCTATAAACAGTGTTTGAAACTCCCATTGTTCTAGGCACGTTTTGTGACAAGGAATTTCATTAAAGCAAGCAGTTTCTGAGCTCTAGGCACAGTACTGAGCCTAAGATTTCAGATTAAAATTGCCACTGCTGTAAGAAAAGGACGACCTTTTTCTGCCTCCCTACTTCCAGCCACTCTGATGACTGGAAAAGGGACCCTCATAAGACTATTAGGGGAGCGGGCACAGGAAGTAAGGCTTTGTTTTTGCAGTCTTCAGATGAGGACTGGACCATGTGAAAAATGAACATAATATTTTAGCTGCAGTTCATTCATTTTCTGTTTTGCATTCTTGTTATAAAAAAGTGTGCCTAGTAGACACTTCTTTGTGGCGCCCATAACCAAGGTTTAAGGTACCATTTACCTCCTAGCTTTCATATCTCTGTTTCTATGCCTGCAAGCTCTGTGCTAAAAGCAACGTTTAGCACATTGAGGTAAGGGCGGGGCCTACCTTGCAATAGCCATCTCTCCCCTCCACATATTAATTATATTCACATTAAGAATTTGTTTGTGGTGCTAGCCTATGCGTATGCATGTCTCTACAAATGTTGTATCCCTACCCCATTTAAAGAGGCATCTCTTTTCAGACTAGAGAACAGCAACTGAAAAAGGAATTGCTGACTGACAGACCATCACCACTAACCTCCCATGAAAGCAGAACTACAGGGAGTGACATAGACTGTTCAGTTTCTGAAGCTGAAAAAACTTCTAATACTTTTCAGTTGCTTTCCTTAAATCTGGGTTCAGGAAGCTGGATAGAAAAAGAAGATTGGGATGATAATGTAAATGTCAATTTTGAAGGTTTTAGTATGGTGGAGTCAGATGTCACTTATAATATGGTAAATGAAGCATTTTAAACAGTACAATTTATTTCAAAGATATTTGAGCTATGGAAGTTAAATCTCTAGGTTTTCACCTGCATTAAAATAAATGTACTAAAAACCAAACGAAAACATTTGATTATGGTTTAATTTGATAGGATATTTTCAATTTCTTTCCCCACAGACAAATAAGAATATGATGTAACTCATTCTAGCAGGATTGTTTATTATTTTCAAATACGAAGAAACTGATACAGTTTGTAAGTGAATAAATATTCAGAGTTCATGAAGCAGAATAACAAACTAGAAATAGACCTTTAAAATGGTCTCATTGTTGACTGCTTCCACTTTAGAGCAAAAGAAAACTTTGCCATCCTAATCACTGAGGTATTGATAAAAGGAGGGATAAACAGTGCAATCCTACGTATGTCCACTCAGTCAGAAATAATTGTATTGTTGCAGTGTTAGCACTAGGGCCACCACTGAACTATGTACCGAAACATCAGTTAAACAATTTAGATTTTAAAAAGATAAATTTGCTGGGAGCCCCAGAGGAGAGACAGCAAAATGAACCAATAGAGCAGAGTCTTTCCCATTTGTACATAACTGTTAGCTCCATTATGAGCATAATCAGCCTTACTTCATGTCCACTGGTGGCTACATTAACAGAAGCTATCCAACAGTTGGCTGTTCCCAGATTGAATGTTCTAGAATTCAACGCGAAAGCAGGCAAGCCAGTAGTGTTGATCCAATGAAGGCAATGCCTAGGAGGACACAGGCCTCTCTACCCCCTTATTGTCCTTCTTGATGCAGCCTTGCTTCTACAAGGGAGAGGGAGGCGAACATCTGTAGTATTCAGGGTAGCATGTCCAGCATACACTGCTAAATAAAGATGCACTGCAGTCAGCAGTGCCAGGACCAGGCATGGTTTGCTGAAACTGGGAGATTTGTTTCTTTCACAATACCAGGAGAATTGTGTTGTTTTTTGGCATGGTATGTGTGTGTGTGTGTGTGTGTGTGTGTGTGTCTGTCCCCACTACTGTACCTGAAACATCCCCATTACACCATGGATATTGCTTAAAATGCACACATGTTCCATCCATAACATTTTTCTGAAAAATGTTGCTGACGGACTTGTGAATGTTTTGTAACTTTTATGCTTCAGATATAAATCTCTCAAGCAATAAATACATAAACATGTTAGCCCAAAACAGCCATGCAATTTCACACCTTGCATCGGCAATCTGGGATCGTCAGGAGGTGGTAGAAGGAAGCAAAAGTGGCACAGTGTAAGAAAAGGAAACATCAGTGGGTGTTCATGCAGTTTACTGCAGAGAACAGTAGATGGAGCCCTGGTGAGCGTCAGCACTGAAAAGCTTACACTCAAGTCAAAACTGGAGCACCAAAGATATCAGGGAGCTGATGCAATAACAGCCTTCACCAACCTGGTCCCTCCAGATGTTTTTGACTACCATTTCCATCAACCACAGACATCATGGGCTACTGGGGGGCACTAGGTTGGCAAAACCTCCTATATAACATTCCATACTCACATTGCACTGTCTTGAAGCTCAACATTTTTGAAGGCTTAGTTTCAGGTTTTTGTGAGTGCTGGATAAAAAGCAAGAGGGTTTTTTTTCTTTTAATCCAAAGATGCTTGGATATGAATCTCTGATCTTGCCCCCCACTGCCACATAACTAATTATTGGGCAGCCAGCTCCTTGAACAAAACAAATATAATAATAATAATTTATTATTTGCTTTTTTTTAAGAATATTTTTTTATTAACCGACCAATCACATCAAATCAAACCAAATTACATAAATTCCAAATTACACAGCCGAATTTTAAATTTTTGTTGGGGGTACCCATATTTCAAGTTCAGAAGGGATCCAATCAACTTCTTGCTTCTTACTGCTGTTTTAATGTTCACAAATCTAACCTTATGATGTTCACAGTACTATCCAGTCCTTTCTAATTATTTTTCCACATCTCTTGTTGTTATTTTCATATATTTTTCCTTTCTCTTTGTGACCTCTGATAGTCTCCGCAAGCTGGTTAGAACAGTTTGTAATCCTGTGTGGATATTATTTTTTTTATCCAGTAGCCATATCCAGACGTTTTCCATATAACATCACTTCCATACATCAAAACAGTCTTAGCGTCATTAATCTTCACCAATCTGCCTCCTTTCTCAAAACCTCTGAGGAGATTCACTAGGAATGCAGTCTGAAAACAAATCCGTTCTTCCTCCTGGCTGTAAATCCTTTGGTAAGATGGCGACTCCGAATTAATTGCTGCACCATTCCCAAAAGCTCTTATTGCTTCTCGGTCTCCATAAAGCATACTTTTGGTTAAAGTTTATCTCCACACAGACCTTAATCATCCTGCTTGGGTCAGTTCAACCGACGGTTCTAATGAGGAGGGGTTCTTGTAAATCACATAGAAGGAAAGTAAAAAAGGTTTCCCCCCCCATTCAGCCCCGTTGTCAACATAACCCGCCTTTCGTGTATCTTCATCGTAAAATATTCCTGTTTCTCCAGCCCGTCGTCTTCTTTCGCAGAGGTCACTTAAATTAGCAGACTTCACTCCCCTTCTTCACTTGAAATATGTGTATTTGCTTCTTTTGTAATTAATTATTCCAAATTGCTGCAACCAGTGAGCGATCAGAGACAGCGTCCAGGAGAGCTGATGTCCACACGGGGGCATTCTGCCTAGGGCCCTCACCCCCTTCTTTTGAATTAGGGGGTGATTTATGGGCACAGCAGGCAAGGGCAGTGTTCCCCATTTCCTTGGGGCAACAAGGGAGGCTGCCTACTCCCATAACAGCCTCTTAATTACCCCGTGTGAGTCGGAGAGATGGTACTGTCGGCCATCTTCCAATGCGCCCCCTAGTGGCCCCCCAATAATTTATTATTTGCAGCCTACCCATCTCACTGGGTTGCTCCAGCCACTCTGGGCAGATTGTTGTATTTTTCGCCCTATAGGACGCACCTTTTCCCCTCCAAAAATGAAGGGGAAATGTGTGTGCGTCCTATGGGGCGAATGCAGGCTTTCGCTGAAGCCTGGAGAGTGAGAGGGGTCAGTGCGCACCGACCCCTCTCGCTCTCCAGGCTTCGCGCAGCTCTCCGCAAGCCATGGGAGCCCGGCGCTGGGCGCCCACGGCTTGCGGAGAGTTGCCTGCATGCTGAAGCCTGGGTGCGCTGAGCTCAGCGTGCCCAGGCTTCGAGCTTCCCGCAGCTCTCTGCAAGCGGTGGGAGCCCGGCGCTGGGCTCCCACGGCTTGCGGAGAGCTGCCTGTTCTGGGGGCTGGGGTCGGGGGAAGCTCGGGCTTCCCCCGCCCCAGCCCCTGGGGGGGAAATGTTTTTCCCCTTTATTTCCCCCCCAAAAAACTAGGTGCGCCTTATGGGCCAGTGCGTCCTATGGGGCAAAAAATACAGTATATGGTTTATAACTGTTACTGGCAGATACTGACACCGATTTCAGACTCCTGCCAGTAACCCACCAGCATAATGTGGCCTGATGCTGTGAAAAAGGTATAGGATCAAAAGGTATGTTCAGATTAGGGCTGAGAGACAAATCACAACCGTCCTTTGAAATTTGTACAACTTTAAATCTTGCCATGCAGTTCTCTAACTGAGCAATGCGTGCAAAAACACTTATAATGAGCTGAAGTGCAGCTTCATCAATGGAAATAGCACGCAACACAATGGGGAACCTGTGGCCCTCCAGATGTTCCTGGACTACAATTACCATCATCCCTAATCTGCTGTCTGGGGCGGATGGGAAATGGAGTCCAATCAATGTATGGAAGCAGCAGGTTCTTTACATACAACAAAGTAATGTATTACTGGGAAATACTTTGGGGAAAAGGAGAAATTTGCACTAACATGCTGCTAAATTTTCAGGACAGCTTATAAAAACAAATTTGCAATATGGAGAACAGAATTTAAGATTGGAAGAATTAGAAACTGAGAGAAACCAAAACCCACACCTAGTTCAGGTACAATGGAATTCAAACCAGGATCCGTGTTTCCTTGCACACTGCACTACCAAGATTGTCAGAAGTAGGTATTGGTGAGTTAGGATCAAGATGAATCACCAGAGTGCTGAATCCCCCAGCCTTAAAAACAGGGGTCAGCAGACTTTTTCAGCAGGGGGCTGGTCCACTGTCCCTCAGACCTTGTGGGGGGCCAGACTATATTTTGGGGAGAGAGAGAAATAATGAATTCCTATGCCCCACAAATAACCCAGAGATGCATTTGAAATAAAAGGGCACATTCTACTCATGTAAAAACACACTGATTCCCAGACCGTCCACGGGCTGGATTTAGAAGGCGATTGGGCCGGATCCGGCCCCCGGGCCTTAGTTTGCCTACCCATGCTTAAGAATAAGGCAACCATTACAGAGCCAGTCACTTCAGATACCCCTTGTGGCTAAGCAACAGAGGCACGGATGAGTTTGTCTGTTTCTGATATATTCTTTATGCCGCTATGGTTAACAGATCTCCCGAAGAGTTTCTTGTTCTTTCGTGCTATTATAACGTATTATATTACACCTTCAATTTGTGATGCCATTAGACAGATTTACCATGCACCTAATGCTTCTAAATTATAAACTAGCTAAGCAAAAGTAGTTGTTTCACCATCACTACACTGCATTCTGAAATAGCTACTGGGGGGGGGGGGAAATCTATGGTTGAAAGTAGGGGTGGGGAACCTTTCACAGACCAAGGCCACATTCCCATCTGGGTGACCTTCCAGGAGATGCATCCCAGTTATGTGGAGGGCCAGAGGGAAAAACAAACCAAGAACTGTGTGTAAATTTTACCTTTCTATAGCAGTCTGGTTTCTGCACACATTCACACCCCTTCTCTATCCTTGATTCAGGCAACTGAGAGGTATTATAAGAGTCCAAGGACACATTCAAGCCAGGCTTCGGTACATGCATCAGATTTCAGTTTGAGTTTATTTGTTGGTGCTTTTAAAGCACCAGTCGAACAAAAGCTTTAGATCTGAAAGTAGCTAAGTTATGTCTTGCATATTGCACATTTTGTTTGGCGATAAGGCAG